ATAAACCATACGTAATCCTTCGTAGTCGCCAAACCTAGCTCCTAGTTATTAGCTACCATTTTTTCCGCAATTTGGACAATCTCCTGGAATTTTTTTTTTGTTGTTCAAAGACATCGTAGAGTCGAGAATCCCAGAGGTCAATCGCAAGTGTGATTTTTTCCTCAAGAGGGCAGAAATGTATAAGTAATGAGAGTAAATAGGTACTTTGATTAAATAAATATATTCTTTCTTAGACAAAAACAGTTGTTAGAATTTTTTAATATTTAAAGCGACAATTTCATGCTTTAATCTCTAATCTACTTAAATACAAATAAATACAATTGAAGCCGTGTAGTGGCGGTTAAGAATATCCACTACCCCATATCTTTCCATGGTTGTCGTAAAAGGCGACAAAGGGAAACAGGCAGGAGATGGGCAGCAGCATCTTCCTGATAACAGCAAAAATACAATAAAAAAACTGCGGTTGCCAACCCCCTCGCCAAGCATGGCAACTATGGCAAATACCCCCCCAATGATTAGAGCAACAAAGAGACGGCCCCCAGTCCCCGGCGGCCCCGCTATTCCTGGCTACGGTGGCGACCATGGTAACGGCGGGGCAGGGGGTGCTAAGAATCTCCGGTGGAGGTTCGGTCGCCACCTAAGAGGACTCGACCTGGCAACATATGTTGCAACACGCACCCTGAGGACTAACGAGAAGATTGTGGAGATGGAAGAAGAGATAGACAAGTTAGGTTTAAAGAATTTATTTTCAAAAAGACAAACAATGCCACTTACATGAAAATAATTATTACATTTTATTAATTTTATTCTAATGGTCGCCGAACAAGTTACGCTGGCATATTATAGGATTATCCGAAGTCCGAAGAGAGGGGGAGGACACGGTAATCCTCGAATCCGGCAACTTGCTCTATCACTGGGAGGGCGACCATCTGTCCCAAGGAGGTATCGGATTTATCGTCCACAAGTCTCGTTAACAACGTTGTAAAGATTGAGAGTGTGTCGACGAGGGTTGCGTACCTTATACTCAGAATCACCAAACGGTATTCGCTGAAGGTCATACAGGTTTACGCATCAACCTCGGCACACCCCGATGAGGAGGTGGAGGAAATGTATGAGGATATCTCTAGAGCCATGCATTACTCCAAAACCCAATATACGGTGTTAATGGGAGACTTCAATGCAAAACTAGGCACAAAAGAGAATGGTGAGCTGAAAGTAGGAAAATTTGGAATAGGACAACGGAACCCAAGAGACCAGCAGCTGGCCGACTTCATGGAGAAAAAAGGGACTCTTTATGATGAACTCTTTCTTCCAGAAGCGGCCCCACAGGAAGTGGACCTGGTCGAGCCCCGACGGTTCGACAAAAAATGAGATTGACTTCATTATGGTGACCAGACGACAACTGTTCAGTGATGTCTCCGTGATCGCGAGGGTGAAAACTGGTAGCGATCACCGAATGGTTAGAGGCACACTGAACCTAAACGTTAAGTTGGAGAGCTCTCGTCAAATGAAGTCAACGCTCCGTCCCCCTCGTGCTCTGTTACAAAGTCCCGAAACCTTTCAGCTCGAGTTACAAAACCGTTTCCAGTGCCTAGAAGACTGCAATGAAGTGGACGATATGACTGACAAGCTCGTGGAAACTGTCCATGCGGTCGGAGCTAAGTTCTACAAGACCCGCCGCAGAAGAACACAAAAACTTTCCGATCACACTCTTAATCTCATGGCTGTTAGACGGGAGATGAAGCTACATTCTTCAACAGATTTGACAGCATACAGGCAACTGAACAGACATCTCCAAATGCATGCGGCGGGAGTTACGCAACTTCAATACAGCTTGTATTGAAGAAGCGATCGAGCGGAACCAAGGCTCCAAAGTCTTTGCCAGAGATCTCTCTGCCAAAAAGAGCCAACTGTCAAAGCTGAAGACCGAGTGTGGCAGCATCGTTGCCGGGGCACCTGAGATTTTGAGTGAGATTGAGAGGTTCTATGGGCAACTGTACACGTCATCGTTGGAGCCACACGCAAGTGTGAGTAACGATCCAAGATCGAGTCTTATCCGACACTATTCCGAAGATATCCCGGACGTCAGTCTGAGCGAGATTAGAATGGCTGTCCAGCACCTTAAAAACGGCAAGGCCCCAGGCGAGGAATGAATTACAGCGGAGCTTCTGAAAGCGGGTGGAAAACCGGTACTTGAAGTCCTTCAGAAGCTCTTTAATTCCGTCCTCCATGGTAGCATTACACCGGAGGCGTGGAGCAGAAGTGCGGTGGTCTTGTTCTTCAAGAAAGGTGACAACGCTCTCTTGAAGAACTACAGACCGATTTCCCTTCTGAGCCGCGTCTACGTGCTGTTTTCGAGAGTCATTACGAATCGTCTCGCGCGCAAACTTGACGACTGCCAGCCTCCCGAACAAGCCGGTTTCCGAAAGGGCTTTAGCACCATAGACCACATACATACCCTTCGGCAAGTTGTACAGAAGTCCGAGGAGTAAAATTTGCCACTATGTCTGGCGTATGTGGACTATGAGAAAGCCTTTAATTCCGTCGAAATTTGGGCGGTGCTGCAGTCCCTTCAGCGGTGCCAAGTTGACTGTCGGTATATCGAATTGCTGAAGTGCTTGTACAGTAGGCCTACGATGGCTATCCGAGTACAGAACCAGAGTACGAAACCTATCCAATTGCAGAGAGGTGTAAGACAGGGTGATGTTATATCCCCGAAACTCTTCACCACTGCATTGGAAGACGTTTTCAAGCTTCTGGACTGGAAAGGATACGGTATTAACATCAATGGCGAGTACATCACTCACCTTCGATTTGCCGACGATATAGTCCTTATGGCAGAATCGCTGCAGGATCTAAGCACCATGCTCAATGACCTCAATAGTGTCTCCCAACGGATAGGTCTTAAGATGAACATGGACAAAACAAAGATCATGTTTAATGTCCATATCACACCTATGCCGGTAGTTGTTGGGAGCACTAAGCTCGAAGTTGTTGACGAGTATGTTTATCTGGGACAAATAGTCCGACTAGGTAAGTCCAACTTCGACCGAGAGGTCAATCGACGGATTCAACTCGGTTGGGCAGCGTTCGGGAAATTACGGCACATCTTCTCGTCAGGTATACCTCAAACCTTGAAAACGAGACTGTACACCCAGTGCGTGTTGCCAGTGATGACATACGGAACTGAGACGTGGTCCTTCACTGCTGGCCGGATGAGGAAGCTCAAGGTCGCTCAGCGAGCGAGCGAGCTATGGAGAGGGCTATGCTCGGAGTTTCTCTGCGTGATAAACTTAGGAATGAGGATATCCGCAGTAGAACCAGAGTAACCGACATAGCCCAACGGATTAGTAAGCTGAAGTGGCAGCGGGCCGGCCATATAGCTCGAAGAACGGACAACCGATGGGGAAGAAAGGTTTTAGAGTGGCAGCCTTGTACCGGTAGGCGAAGTTTAGGGCGACCCCCCATGAGATTGATTGACGACCTGGTAAGACATGCAGGAAGTCGATGGATGCAGGTGGCTCAGGACCGTGCTTTGTGGCATTCCTTGGGGGAGGACTATGTTCAGCAGTGGACTTATGAAAGGCTGTAATGATGATGATGAAGACAATTGAAGTGTCTGTTTGTAATGTCAAAATAACAACTTCTTACTAAATGTATATATGAAAGTGTATATGGTAGATACTTATAACAAAAAAACATTTTTTTTTAAATTTTTGTCTGTCTGTATATATCTGATGTTATAAGGCGTAACTTTGGCTTTTATTTTAGAAAATGAATTAGCGTTCCGCGCAAAAAAACTAAAACCTATGAAATCCATCGTAATAAATTCCACGCGGATAAAGTCGCGGGGTACAGCTAGTTTTATATAAGTTTTTTTAAAACATAATTGTTACAAACATGAGCTAATAATATTTTGATTAAAATTGTCTTAGATAAGATTATGTGCAATTTATCATAGAGCGAAGGATTACAATCACATATTTTATTTATTTATAGTACAACCATATATCGTAAAGATCATTCACAAATTATAAGAGATATTATTATATTACAAAAACAGCAACTGATATATTATATTAACCAATAAAAAAGCGGTGTACATTATCGTTGACAACCTAACACAGTATTACATTTTTATTTGGTTCGTAATTTGTCGGATAGCTACCTTTACAAATACAAATAAATAAAATTGAAGTGTCTGTTTGTAAGGTCAAAATAACCACTTTTTACTAAATGCATATGAAATTATTTTTGTTTGCTTGTCTATCCGTCCGTTTGTCCGTCCGTCCGTCTGTTTGTTCCGACTAGTCTCCATGAAGTAATGAATTCCAGACGAAGTCACGGGGAACAATTAGTAATATGTACGTACATGGTATTTAGTACTGTTACATTACACTGTTACATTACATTATAATATGAGGTATTAGTAGATTTTACAGAATTGGTAAAATTCTTAATTCTATAAAGAAATATTTGTTTGTGTTGGTCATTTAATTTTATTATAATACTAGCTGTTCCCCTCGACTTCGCCCGCGTGTAATTTATGGTTTTAATATTTTTACGCGGAACCCCAATTTTTTTCTAAAATAACAGTAGCCTAAGTTACACCTTATAACATTAGCTATCTGCCAATGAAAGTGCCGTCAAAATTGATCTTGCCATTTCGGAGGTTAGTCGGAACAAACAGACTGACTGACATTTATAATAATTATATTTTTGTTATGAGTACTGTATATAGTAAAAAAAGCCTTTCTTTTGACATTACAAACAGACACTTCAATTTTATTTATTTGTATATAGATTTGCTCACAACATTTGCACACATTGACCTCTTTACAGCTATTTGTTGCTTTTAAAGATAGTATTATTTATTCTGTGCTTCGAGTAAGATTTTTTATACTGATTCATATAAAACACTTGTTCAAAATAGAATTTTAGATATTTCACAACAAAACCTCTTGTTTTTTCTTGTTTAACATAACTTTGTTTGTTTGCAGATGGCGGGGAAGTATATACAAATTAGTATGGCTGGATCTGCTCGTGTTTTTATTAATATATTATAAACTCAACATTATCTATCGAATGCTGTTAGATGAAGAATCAAAAAGGTATTGCGCAAATTTTTATTTATTTATTTAAATTTATATCGACACTTTTCCGCATTGTAATCATACTTTATCTCGTACATACTTTGATTACTTGTTATACCGTTATTCAACATAAAGTGTAATATTTTAAAAATTATTCATCCAACTATAATTATTTACATTTAAAATTCTTGGTAGTTTATTTTGTAACAGCTGTTCTATAGCGTAATGACTACCTACGCCCATCTGTTAAAATGCAAATACATTTTTGTAACAATTGTTAATAGAGGAATACGTTTTTTTCCGGGTTGCCTATCAAAATTTGTTGCGAGTATTTTTACTTTAAGTATTTAACCGACTTCAAAAAGGAGGAGGTTCTCAATATGAGTGTATGTTCTTTTTTTGTATGTATGTTACGCGATATATTCGCAGATTGAGAACCGATTTTAATTATTTAATGTTATTAAATAAGTTATACTTCAAAGGGTAGAAAATAAATAACTTCTTTTTTAGCAATTTGAAGCCGCTTTTTATTAATATTACGTTCTTATATTTACGCGAACACTACACATTAACTGAAACTAATTTTACGGATTCTACCGCGTTTAACTTTTTAGTGACCGACGTTTCGGGTGTTTTGCAGCACCCATGGTCACGGGGGGGGGGGGGGGGCTGATGTGTTTAACATCCCGATGTCATAGCTCGGCTACCTTCAGTTTTTGAATATTAATTTTTGTTCCGATCTACGCAGAATGAGCTTACAGTATCTTGAAGTCTTGTAGATAGAGTGCCATTCTTTAACCAATCAATAATAATGCAAAAGAAACAATGCCTTTGCATTATTATTCATTTTCCTAAACTGAATTTACGGAGTTTTTTCAACTTAAGATATAGTATCTTAAGTTAAAAAAAAAACTTTTCAATCGGCATCTTAAAAATACAGAAATCTTTCTTCACATTTGGTGGGATCGATACCCAGATGAGGCGAAACAACTTTTCAAATATCTTTGAATGCAGTATTACATACTTTTAAATATAAATAAAAGATATTGTAGATAGGAAATTCTGGTTCGTATAGTACCAGAATTTCCTATCCACAATATTCAAAGTACTTTCAGGATCTTCATGATAGCAAATGAACATTAATAAAAATGTGATGCCGACCCGCTTGCTAAACATTGCAACTATGGCAGATCTGAAGGCCTAGGTTCAGCCGTGGACTTTTGATAGTGGTAATGGATAGAATAATGGATAGATATTATCTAAAAGGTTTTTTCCTATAGCCGAAATAAAACGTAACCATTGTGAATGAAAAAAGGCGCGAATATAATGGGATGTTAAAAAATATTATTTTACATCTCAAAATATTGGTATCGACATAGTTCTTTCGGAACGGTAGTACAAAAATAGGCGTTCCTCAGGGCACAATTGTCGACCCCTTTCTGTTCCTTAATTATATTAATGACTTATTTTTAATAGGGTACATACTAATACTCGTATTTGCTGATAATACTTCAGAAAATGACATTTTGCAAGTAGCAAAATTTATTAGCCACCTTTATTAATTCCAATTGTTAACCAGGTCGTATTTTATTTGCGCAGGATGTTTGAAGGCGTGGTAAACTACTGCAGTTTCCACGGCAATGTTATACCGCTGTCTTTTGTACTCGGTTTCTACGTGACGGTGGTGATGAACCGCTGGTGGAGTCAGTACACTACTATACCCTGGCCCGATTCTATCGCGGTCTTCGTGTCTGCAACTATTCACGGACAGGTTTGAATAAATAATTGACTTTTATTAATCCGAATCTTTAAAATGTTTGCTTGCAAATACACTGACCACAATCAACATGATTGCCTACTGATGGTCATATAACTGTAAGTAAAGCGTATCTGTTATCACCTAATCGCTGTCACAGTAAAGACATATCGCTCTTACGATACCGTTATTTGGCCATTTACTTAGATCTGCGATATTTATGATGAGCCTTCTACCATCCTCATCCTTCATGTCATCAGCACGTTTAGAATACACTGTTGAATTTTCCACATAGTAGAGAGCGAGCTTGTAAACATCAAACGTCGCAGGATTCAACCGCTGCAATTTAACGTGACTTGGAATTATTAAAATAAGATTATAAGTAGTAATTAAAATAAGATGCAAGTTTACCACATTTTTAACTAATATTATTCGTGTCGTAAATCACTCCTAGCAGTTCACTGCCATTGGTTAAAGAGGAAAGTAGTAGTGTTAATTGCATTGCTGTAGTCTATATACACCGCGTATATCAAGATGCAATAAAATTTCTAATCTTAATGAAACACATTTCGCTTTTCTTATAAGTAATTAGTTGCGCTGGTTTGCGCAATTACTTCCCTTGGTATTTAATTTATTTTTAGTATCTAACAATTTTACCATTATGTATCTTAAAATATCATTATTTACTACTAGCTGTACCCGGCCACGAGTTGTTGTGACTCAAAAAGTTTTTCAAAAAGTATTTAAATGTCAAAATTTCAAAGCAATTGATGAAGAACTTTCGGAGATTTAAGATTTTGATAGGTACAATAATAAGAAAGGTATAATCTATTTTATAAAATAAAAATATAAATGTTCTATTGTCTGTTCATAATTACAATTTTCTTAAGTTTGCCTGATAGTTCTGTATTCAACCTTGTTACGCTTTTTGATGAAAATAAAGTAGGTCAATTAGATATCTTAAAATGTATTATTAGTTAGGTAACTGCGTTGGGTGTCTGTCTAAATTTTTTTACGCTGGTATTCTGTGAGAGCGTGGTCATTTCCTGGTCGAGCGGACCCATTCGTGCTACAACTATAATATAGCTGCAGCATAGCACTACCACTACTTAGCTAGCTGACTACACAGAAATGGTAGAGAGAGCTGTAACCTAACTGTCCTATAAGGACATTTTGCCATAGTTGCCACGCTTGGCAGTCGGGTTGGCATCCACTGGGACTGTATGGGTTAGTGGATGTTATTAAACCGCCACTGCACACTAAATAGACCTTATTCATTTATCATTATCATCATCATTACAGCTCATCACAAGTCCACTGCTGAACATAGGCCTCCCCCAAAAAATGCCACAAAGCACGGTCCCGAGTCACCTGCACCCATTGACATCTCGCTTGTCTTACTAGGTCGTCACTACATCTAGTGAGGGGACGCCCTACACTTCGCCTGCCTGTACGAGGCTGCCACTCGAGACTCTTTCTTCCCCATCGGTTGTCGGTTCTTCGAGCTATATGGCAGGCCCATTGCCACTTCATCTTACTAATCTGTTGGGCTATGTCGGTTACTCTGGTTCTAATGCGGATATCCTTGTTTCTCTATATATATATATATATATATATATAAGTCTATCAGGCAAAGAAACCTTGAACATAGCCCTCTCCATAGCTCGCTGAGCGTCCTTGGGCTTCCTCATACGACCAGCAGTGAAGGACGACGTCTCAGATCCATAGGTCTCCATAGGTCACTGGCAACACACATTGGTGGAACAATCTAATTTTGAGGTTTTGAGGTATGCCTGACGATAAGATGTGTCGGAATCGCTCGAACGCTGCCCAGCCGAGTTTAATCCGTCCATTGACCTCTCGGTCGATGTTGGACTTACCTAGGCGGACTATTTGTCCCAGGTAAATATACTCTTCAACAACTTCGTTCTTAGTACTCCCAACAACTACCGACATACTTGTGTCATGGACGTTACACATAACTTTTGTTTTGTCCATGTCCATCTTAAGACCTATCCGTTGGAAGACACTATTGAGGTCATTGAGCATAGTGCTTAGGTCCTCCAGCGATTCTGCCATAAGGACTATATCGTCGGCAAATCGAAGGTGAGTGATGTACTCGCCATTGATGTTAATACCGCATCCTTTCCAGTCCAGTAACTTGAAAACGTCTTCCAAGTCCAAGTCCAAGTCTTACAGCGGTGAAGAGTTTCGGGGATATAACGTCATCCTGTCCTACATCTCTCTGCTATTGGATAGGTTTCGTACTCTGATTCTGTACTCGGATAGCCATCGTAGCCCTACTGTACAAACACTTCAGCACTTCGATATACCGACAGTCAACTTGGCACCGCTGAAGGGACTGCAACACCGCCCAAATTTCGACGGAATCGAAGGCTTCCTCATCATCCACACTCCACATACGCAGGGCAGAGTGTACTCTTCGGTCTTCTGTAAAATTTGCCAAAGGATATGTATGTGGTCCATGGTACTAAAGCCTTTTCGAAAACCAGCTTGTTCGGGAGGCTTTAAGACGTCGAGTATGCGTGCGAGACGAATTTTCTCCGAACCTCAACTATGGACGGTTCATTGAACCCAGAACCAAAGCAGCCGCAAGGAAACTTGGTATCCTCGCAAGAGTTCGGCGGTACTTCACGCCGAGACAGCTTCTTACCTTATATAAAGCGCAAGTCCGGTGGTGCATGGAGTACTACTGTCACATATAGGCTGATGCTGCAAAATGCCACCTGGCAGCGTTGGCCTCAGTGGAGAGACGTCCTAATAGGCTCATTGGTGACCTTGATTTGGTTGTAACTAACCTTGTCAGCCTCGAGCACAAGCGCAGAGAAGCCAGCCTCTCGGTATTCTATAGGATGCATTTCGGTGAGTGTGCGCAGGAATTACACGATTTATTTCCTCCCTCTCCTTTCTACCATCCGATGACCAGGTGGTCGGCGGGTCTACACTCCTTTTTTGTCGATATTCCACGCCTTTAGAACCAAACGGTTTGCTTCGAATTTTGTAGTGCGTACAGCAAAGGAGTCGAATAATTTGCTGGCGTCTATCTTACCGTCCGAATATAATCTGGGCGTCTTCAAGGCAAGAGTGAATAGGCTTTTGTTACGCTAAGACAGTGCGATTTACCTTCTAAGCCTGCATCACCACTTACCACCAGGTGTGGTCAGGCACTGGCTTATAATAAGTAAAAACAAAAGACGATTCGTAATGACTTTCGAAAACAGCACTTAGACGCGGCTCAGAAGGGAAATCGGTCTGTAGTTTTTCAAGAGAGCATTGTCGCCTTTCTTGAAGAACAAGACCACCGCACTTCTGCTCCACGCCTCTGGAGTAGTCCCACTATGGAGGACGGAATTTAAGAGCTGAAGGCTTCAAGTACCAGTTTTCTACCCGCTCTTAAAAGCTCTGCTGTAATTCCATCCTCGCCCGAGGACTTGCAGTTTTTAGGTGCTGCAGAGCCATTCTAATCCCGCTCAGACTGACTTGACTGACGTCCGGGATATCACCATAATAGTGTCGGATAAGACTTGCTCTTGGATCGGTAGTCACACTTGCGTGTGGCTCCAACAATGACGTGTACAGCTGCCCATAGAACCTCTCAATCTCACTCAAAATCCCAGGTGTCCCGGAAACGATGCTGCCACATTCGGTCTTCAGCTTTGACAGTTGGCTTTTCTGGCAATGTATGGACAGTTTCCACGAGCCAGTCATTCATATCATCCACTGCATTGCAATCTTCTAGGGACTGAAAACGGTTTTGTAACTCGAGCTGGAAGGTTTCGGGACTTTGGATTAGAGCACGAGGGGGACGGAGCCTTGATGTCATAAGACGAGACCTCTCCAACTTAACGTTTAGGTTCAGTGTGCCTCTAACCGTTCGGTGATCGCTACCAGTTTTCACCCTCGCGATCACTAAGACAACACTGAACAGTTGCCGTCTAGTCGTTATAGTAATAAATATTTTTTTAATTCCAAATTTCGCGCTACCTTCAGCTCACCATGCTCTCTTGTGCCTAGTTTTGCGTTGAAGTCTCCCATTAACACCGTATAGTGGGTTTTGGAGGAATGCATGGCTTTAGAGATATCCTCATAAATTTCCCCCGCCTCCTCATCGGGATGTGCCGAGGTTGGTGCGTAAACCTGTAGGACCTTCAACGAATACCGTTTGGTGATTCTGAGTATAAGATACGCATTCCTCGTCGACACACTCACAATCTTTACTACGTTGTTAACGAGAGACTTGTGGACGATAAATCCGACACCTCCTTGGGACAGATGGTCGCCCTCCCGGTGATAGAACAAGTTGCCGGATTCTAGGATTACCGTGTCCTACCCCTCTCTTCGGACCTCAGATAATCCTATAATATCCCAGTGCAACATGTCTATCTCTTCTTCCAGCTCCAGGATCTTCTCGTCAGTCCTCAGGGTGCGTGCGTTGTATGTTGCCAGGTCGAGTCCTCTTAGGTGGCAACGGAAACTTCCACCGGAGATTCTTAGCACCCCCGTGACCATAGACGCCACCGTAGCCAGGAATAGCGGGGCCTGGGGCCGTCTTTTTGTAACTCTTGTCATGGGGGATATATTGCCATAGATGCCACGTTTGGCGAGCGGGTTGGCAACCGCAGTTTTTTTTATTGTCATTTGCTGTCATAAAAAAGATGCTGCTGCCCTTCTTCTGTCTCAATTTCCCTCTGTCGCCTCTTACGATACCCACGGGTAGATATGGGGTAGTGGGTATTCTTACCCGCAATTACATGGGGAATTATATTTATATGTGTACTGTTACCGTTTTTAACAGTGGTAGAGCCACGCGGCAGCTTTTGCTGTCGCACGGATGGGCCGGCTCGAACCGGGGTGGTACCACGACCTCACAGAATACCAGCGTGAAGTAGAGGCTTACCTCTGCGTTTCGCTTGGTGAGTGCAGGTGGCCGGAGGCCCTTTTTACTGGAAATGAGGCATTCCATCTTAGTCCTCACAGGTGGCAACGCATCTGCATTTTGATTCGCAAACGAGGATAGATGTAGATGTCTATGGCCGCAGCAACCACTTACCATCAGGTGGACTGTGTGCTCGTTTGTCACCCTTATACTATAAAAAAATGTAATTATTTTTATTAAATCCTCTTATTTGGGCATTCATAAAAGATAACGTCTCTAGTGATATCAGTGTTACGTAAGTTGTATGTTATGTCGTTTCTTGGAGGTGGAACATCATTGTGTCGTTTATACAGATGATTAACGCAAACATTGTCACGGACAGATAACAGATGTGCATTAACAGTAAATCAATTGTAAACACCGCCCTCGAATCAACCTGTTTTTCCGAGCATCAATAAAACAAACCATGTATAAATAAGCGAGATCTTACAATAAATAGTGGAGGGCATAGATTATCCTTAGTATGTCATGCAATAGCTATGTATGTATACTTATTGCTTCGTATTTTGCGTTAATGAATATCGTCTAGTGTCTATTATGTGTGACGTATCATGCAATAGCTATGTATGTATACTTATTGCTTCGTATTTTGAGTTAATTATTATGGTCTAGTGTTTATTATGTGTGACGTATCATGCAATAGCTATATATGTATACTTATTGCTTCGTATTTTGAGTTAATTATTATGGTCTAGTATCTATAATGTGTGACGTATCATGCAATAGCTATGTATGTATACTTATTGCTTCGTATTTTGAGTTAATTATTATCGTCTAGTATCTATAATGTGTGACGTATCATGCAATAGCTATATATGTATACTTATTGCTTCGTATTTTGCGTTAATTATTATCGTCTAGTATCTATTATGTGTGACGTATCATGCAATAGCTATGTATGTATACTTATTGCTTCGTATTTTGATTTAATTATTATCGTCTAGTATCTATTATGTGTGACGTATCATGCAATAGCTATATATGTATACTTATTGCTTCGTATTTTGCGTTAATTAATATCGTCTAGTGTTTATTATGTGTGACGTATCATGCAATAGCTATATATGTATACTTATTGCTTCGTATTTTGCGTTAATTAATATCGTCTAGTGTTTATTATGTGTGACGTATCATGCAATAGCTATATATGTATACTTATTGCTTCGTATTTTGAGTTAATTATTATCGTCTAGTATCTATTATGTGTGACGTATCATGCAATAGCTATATATGTATACTTATTGCTTCGTATTTTGCGTTAATTAATATCGTCTAGTGTTTATTATGTGTGACGTATCATGCAATAGCTATATATGTATACTTATTGCTTCGTATTTTGCGTTAATTAATATCGTCTAGTGTCTATTATGTGTGACGTATCATGCAATAGCTATGTATGTATACTTATTGCTTCGTATTTTGCGTTAATTAATATCGTCTAGTGTTTATTATGTGTGACGTATCATGCAATAGCTATATATGTATACTTATTGCTTCGTATTTTGAGTTAATTATTATCGTCTAGTATCTATTATGTATGACGTATCATGCAATAGCTATATATGTATACTTATTGCTTCGTATTTTGAGTTAATTATTATCGTCTAGTATCTATTATGTGTGACGTATCATGCAATAGCTATATATGTATACTTATTGCTTCGTATTTTGCGTTAATTAATATCGTCTAGTGTTTATTATGTGTGACGTATCATGCAATAGCTATATATGTATACTTATTGCTTCGTATTTTGCGTTAATTAATATCGTCTAGTGTCTATTATGTGTGACGTATCATGCAATAGCTATATATGTATACTTATTGCTTCGTATTTTGCGTTAATTAATATCGTCTAGTGTTTATTATGTGTGACGTATCATGCAATAGCTATATATGTATACTTATTGCTTCGTATTTTGCGTTAATTAATATCGTCTAGTGTCTATTATGTGTGACGTATCATGCAATAGCTATATATGTATACTTATTGCTTCGTATTTTGCGTTAATTAATATCGTCTAGTGTTTATTATGTGTGACGTATCATGCAATAGCTATGTATGTATACTTATTGCTTCGTATTTTGCGTTAATTAATATCGTCTAGTGTCTATTACATGTGTGTGTTAATTAAAAGCGTGATGTGGAAATAGTAATGAAACCCAACTACTGGAATAATCTAAGCATAACACTTTAATCCACAGTGATGGAATTAGGAGGTCTTCTCGAAGAGCGGTGCCACTCTTTGAGTCCTCACAGGAGTAACGGGAGTGATTAACGAGTTAATTTATTTCCTAGCAAATTTATCGAACCGAATTTTAATTTTAGTACAATTTACCATAAGCCGATGAAAAGAGGCGATAATATTATACATCTTTATTATTTTTCTTTAACGAGGATAAATTTTCTGGGCCCGTAGAGTTAAAATGCCGTCCCTCACACCCGCCTTCATCATAGTCTTAGTATATTATTTCATTCATCTTTTACAACCTACTAAAAGTCCACGACCTCCCAAATGAACATAGGTTTTACATATGTCTCCCCCATAGATTGCCTCATAGGGTGCCCCCCTTTACCAAAGTTGTCTTGTTCACGCTCGCTTTCTTTGGCTCAATCACTTTAACTGGAAAAGAAAGAAAAAATAATATATTATATCTGTATATTATGTTACTTTCCAACAGATGTCGCTGTTTTTGAAAAGTTATATATTTAAAAAGATATATTTAAAAATTATATAAAAATTGCATTTTCTAACGCAACGTTGTGGCAAAATTTCAAATTATCGGTGAAGAACTAGCCTGCGTTCGGGAAACTGCGACAAATATTATTGTCGGAAAATCCTCCGAATTTTAAAACGAAAGTGTGCGTTACAACCAGTGTGCGTTGCCAGTGATAACTTACGGAACTGAAACGTGTTTCTTCACTGCCGATTGTATGAGGAAGCTCAAAGTCACTCAGTGTGCGATGGAAAAGTTTATGCTCTGAACATCTCTGTGGAATAAAATCCGTAATATGAATATCCACAGAAAACAAGAGTAACTGATGTGGCTCAGCGGATCGAGGATCCGACAACCGATTGGGAAGAAAAGTTCTGAAATGGCAGCTTCGCACTGGAAAGCGCACTATTGGACGTCCCCTCACTAGATAGAGCGATGACCTGATGAAACACGATGCAAGTGACTCAGGACCGTATCATGTAGTAATCTATGAGGGAGGCCTATGTTCATAAGTGGCTGTAGTGGTAGTGGTTGTAAAGAACTTTCGGATATTTAAGATTTTGAACAAACAAACATACATTTTTATTAATATAAATTAGACTATTTTTTAACTTAAATTCATCTCTATTATCGGTTCGTAAGCGGGGGATAAATAAACATTGGCTGCGTCGCTATGGGTTGCGGATTCGTTTTACGCATGGAACAAAGTACCTCTTACTAATCTAAGATGTTTTTAAAAGTAACGTCTTTGTTACTAATGTCCTACAAATAATTCTAGATGTTTACTATATCTTTATTAACCTCGGCAAATTTTATTTTATTTTTGTATTGATTTCTTGTTTTGTAATGTTACACCATTGTACTGCTACGGCTTAAATTTTGTAATAATAGCTTGTATGAAACAAAAAAATGTAATATTTGTTTTTGTTTCATAAACATAATTGTCACAAAATTTAAGTAGTAAAAATAAAATTAGTGTTAGTGCACCCTTGCAATTCGGAGGTGGGGAAAGAGGTGATGCAGAGGGTGACGAACTTAACCCCATTAACTAACCCCTACTGCGCTCTAAATATAATATCCTTAAAATCTACATAATGATTATTTTTAACGTTTTTACAGGATGAACGTGGGCGACTAATGCGGCGGACTATTATGCGATATGTCTGCCTTTGCCTTACTATGGTGCTAACTATGATCTCACCTCGTGTTAAGAAGCGTTTCCCAACCTTAGATAATTTAATCGAAGCTGGTCTTCTATTAGACAGTGAAAAATCAATACTCGACAATCTTAATAGTAAATTTCCTAAGCCCTCAAAACATTGGTAAGTCGTCGCTATAACCAACAATAAATATATACCGTAATCAAGGCAAATGTAAGACAACATAAAATTTCATTCTCAGTGTCAGTGTCAATCTCATCAAACAAAATGGACTAATGATGTTAAATAAAATTACAATATTTTTCACTAGTGTAATCAGCTTAACAGGGCACGCGTAAAACAGTGATATTGTTTTATATATGTCTACATTTTTTTTTGGTAAACCTACATCACAGTATGGATCCGCATATTTTACTCGGCGATGACGACGACGACAACGACGGTTAAATAAACCGAGAAAAAAGACCCGTACGGAAGACCTGAGAATCAGACATGTATTGTTTAATATTCGTTATCATTATATCGATATCGAGCGAGTATCAGATAACAGTGAACCTTGGAATATAGCCCAGAACCTGATGTAGCTTTAGAGTTCCTATCTCCTTTCTAACAGCAAAATTATCACCGAATAGCGATGAATGCCAGAATTAATGGTTGCTATGCCACAATCACAGAGACATACGCTTGTCCTAACTTACTCATTGCCGTTGTAAAGGAATAAATTAGGATTTTTTGTCAAGAACACGACATAAGTACAACGCATCCACAAACGTTAGGCTCTGGTTGGAATTCTAACCTAAGATCGCGACTTTAATATTGACGTACTCTCAGGCAACTAGCATTAGTCTGACAAGTAATGATAGTTGCCATTGGTAATACGCATGTTAAAAAAATGAAACATAGCTGTAACTCTGCTACGACATTACACTAATAAATTACCGTGAAACCTGGCAATTTTGCCATTTTTGGAAGGAATTTAAGACCGATAGTCCAACAAAAAATGTACTGTGAGCCTGGGCGTCAGTGTTAAATGTGACATTATATTCTTCATAGATTTGGTATTTATTAATGATTTAAACAAACACTAACATTAAACAGACAAAATACTCAAAAATAGAAAATGGCAAAGTTAACCTCACTTTGTGGTGACTTCGCCATCAGGGTTTATAATGAAAATAATATGATTTGACATTAAGGTTGAAGGTAAGTTTACCTCATAATATAATACACAACACGCAGAGTTATGATTTGCTTCTTTATAGCAAAGTTTACGCTTGTGGCAAAGTTGCCCTTCCATTTTTCTATTTTTCTGAAAATATGTGTCAGGGTTCTCAAAAATCCTTGATTACATACTTAACTTATTTTTTTATTTAAATCTTGTCACAATAATTTCTTAAGAAAAATCTAAAATATATCCAACAAAAATACTCTCGACTAAAATCTATACATATAATAAAAATTAAAAATAAAATTGGTGCAATAATAAGCTTAATAAGCAATAATAAGCTAGTATAGAATAAAAAAAGCTTGTTACAATTATTTTTAACAAGTATTCGGTTTTTTATTACATTTTATTAGGGGTCACTATAAAATGTCAGGTCTTGTAAACAATCTAAATATTGTTTTCCCACAATAGCAAAACATTAATCATTAAAAATGACAATTAATGCTTTGCGTAATATCAATACACTAATTTAAAATTATGAAAAATATTGTGTAGTAATAATATTATTAATGATTAACAACGCATTAAAAATAATATAGTGTAGAAACAAACTTCAGTACACAGTTATTACTCTATATGATGTAAAAAGAAACTTCAGTTCACGGTTAACACTCTATATTTCATGTTAAATAAACACAGTTTACACTTATTCTCTTTTATTTCTCAACAATGAATTAATCAACTTTATAAACTTTCAATTTACACTAGTTCACTCCGACACGACTATTACAGTACAAATTCTATTGTATGTCCTCGGACACGCCCGTCATTCCGTTTTATAGTTTCCCTTCCACTGCCAGGCGGAAGGGTATTTTAGTAGTTTCAATACTTCTAAGTTACATATATTGACATTTCAATTGTAGTGGAATATATTAACTACTTACAATATTTAATTACGGTGTAACAATAATATATTAATAATAGGATTAATTATAATATATATATCTTTTATTACAACTCGGCCATCCTTTTGCTGCAACGAGTCCCATCGTGAGTTTGGTTTAGCCATTAAAAAAAATAATTTCTAGGTAAATAACAATAGCATAATATTTTTACAATAATATTAAATCTAAGGTAATATTATTCCATGTCATTCAAGCAAAAACCCTACGCCCAGTAAAGTCTACAGTGTCTGTTACCATCCACTATAGTAAAATCTTACATTCAATTTACTACCCTGGACCAGAATCAGCAGACTACACAGGACGTTGACCAGGTAGTGACCTCACCCTGAATATTGTGAGTTCACTTATCTTGTGCTTAGAATGTTATGAGCAAACTCTTTTCTATACTCACCCTGAATATCATGAGCATAAGATAATCTTATATTAATGTGCACACCCTGAATATTGTGAGCACAATAAAAATCATAAACATACATGAATAAAAATAAAATAAAAGTTTATATAAACCTGTTTATATACAATACATTGTACATTTTGTATATTTCATTTGGTATTCGAATAAACAAACAACTATTTAAACACTTGCCAAGACTATAAAAAAAATTTAAGCCCTAGTGACACATAATGAATAAGGAATAGTAATTATAATGTGACTTAACGAACAATCAATAACTTTGGTCATCATCGTCCTTACTGCTACTGTTTGAGCCATCACTATCATCATTGGCACTCTGAAAATTTAGCCATGGTTTCAACTTATCAATTGCAACAATTGCTTCATAACGTCTACCCTTTTTTGTTAGTGGTGTATCTTCAATAATGTACCTATCATTCGGTAAAACTTTTTTAATTCGATAAGGGCCCCTAAATTTTGGTTCTAACTTACGAGACTGCCCTTCTTGGCTAGGGATAGTTCTCAAAACACTTACAAGATCGCCTACCTTAAGGGCTATGTTATTTTTCACGCGAGTTTCGGATCGTTCTTTATATTTATGTTGCTGCTTATCTATAAGAAGCTTTGCACCCTGTCTGATGGTGTTTAAGTTAGGGGTAACCTCATTTTCATTAACGTCCTCGATTATGTCATTAAGGATCCCTTCGGAAGGATTTGTAATTCTATGGCCAAATAAAAGCTCTGTTGGAGTTTTTTTCGTAATGGCATGAACAGTGGTATTGATTCCAAGTTGAACGTCAGGCAGGTACTCATCCCACACATTTATAGGCTTTTCGTGGGTCATTGCGCCGAGTGCAGCCAGAATTGTGCGATTGTACCGCTCTACTTGGCCATTCGCTCTAGGGGTGGCGACAGCGTTAAGGACATGTTTAATACCCTTAGAAACTATAAAGTCCCCAAACTTTTTGCTTGTAAAGGTTGTACCCTGATCGGTTATAAGTCTAGCGGGAGTTCCAAAATAACTAAAATGTTCTTTAAATATTCGAATAGTTGTTGTAGATTTCGTATTTTGCACTGCTGTTAAATTAACAAATTTGGTAAAGGCATCGACTATGACTAGAATATAGCTATTCCTTCGTTTGCTCTTATTGAAAGGGCCTAAATGGTCGGCATGGATAGTGTGGAAGGGTATGTCAATTTTAGGAATTGGATGGAAACTATTTACTTTTAGTCCACCAGTTGTTTTATGGTGGGCACATTCTAAACACGCGCTGACGTATTTTTTTACGAATCTTCTCATCTTGGGGAACCAATACATGGCTTGTATTCGGTCTAAAGTTTTTACGAACCCAAAATGACCTACGTTATCATGATTAGCTTTCAGAATCTGCCAACGCGCCCCTTTTGGTACCACCCATCTGATTGTGTCTGCATCCAAAATCCGATAGACCCTACCATTTTTCAACTTGTAGTTTTTGATGATATCCATAATTTTCTCTGAATTAGGATTTGAAAGTACGTCTTTGATATGTTTTATGTTCTCATCGTCATCTTGGACGGTTGCGATCCAATCCTCCGCATTTACCGTAAGGATGTCAAGAACGCGATTTTCTGTACTCACATCGGGTATAGCATGTCGACTCAATGCATCGACATGCGCCATTTTTTCGCCCGGTTTGTGTTCAATAGTACAATCAAACTCTTGAAACTGTATCCACCAGCGGGCAATGCGCGGAATTAGATCACGTTTGGTAAGGGTTGTGCGTAGTGCATTGCAATCTGTGAAAATTTTAAACTTTATGCCTAGTAGGTACACTCTGAATTTGTTCAGAGACGCTACTACCGCCAGAGTCTCTAATTCGAAAGAGTGAAGTTTCTGTTCATCAGGGTTAGTTTGACGACTATAATAGGCAATAGGTTGGAGAGTACAATTAGAATTTCTTTGTAGAAGTATGCCTGCAACGCCCAACTTACTAGCGTCAGTGTGAAGTTGTGTTTCTGCTTCTGGATTATATAGAGCTAGTACTGGTCGTTGGACTAATTTTGTCTTAAGGGTTTCAAAAGATTTTTGTTCTTCATAACTCCATTGCCATTTGACATCTTTCTTCAATAATGTTGTTAGCGGTCGTGCCAAGATAGCGAAATCTTTTATAAACCGCCTAAAAAAACTCGCCAAACCGATGAATCTTCTCACATCGTGTTGGTTTAGAGGAGTTGGGAATTTCGAAACAGCATCAGTTTTAAGAGATCCTGGACGAACTCCATCAGCGCTTATCTCGAATCCCAAGTACTCAATTTTGTCAAAGAAGAACCTACATTTGCTTAACTTTAGCGTAAGCCCACCTTCTTTTAGAAGTGCGAGGACTTCCTCCAAACGCAATAAGCCCTCGTCAAAGGTTTTTGCTGGGATCAGGATGTCATCCATGTAGACGAGAGCATATTTTACTCGTGCTTTGTTTAGAATTTTATTCATTGCGCTTTGAAATACAGATGGTGCATTCACCAGCCCGAACGGCATCCTGGTATATTCGAACTGCCCATCTGGTGTTACAAACGCAGTTTTGTCACGGGACCCCTCCTCAATCGGAATCTGGTAATAACCAGATGCGAGATCCAGAGTGATGAATAATTTACTCCCACTCAGTAAATCTAGTTGGTCTTCGATGCGTGGTAAGGGGTAATGTTCTTTAATTGTTTTATTGTTAAGCGCTCTATAGTCCACACATAATCTTTTTTCCCCAGATTTCTTTTGTACTAGAACTATCGGGCTAGCATAATGCGAAGCAGACTCCCGAACAATTCCACAGTCGAGCATTTCCTGAATCATGTTACGGACTAATTGTCTATCGGCAAAAGATAACCGATAAGGCCTATATACTATCGGTGATGAATCTTTTAGATGAATGACCATCTCTGCAGCTGTAGTGAATCCCAAGTTATGCAAATTTGATGAAAAACATCCTTTGTACTTGTCCAGTAAATCAGCTAGTTTATTCTTTTGCTCGGGATCCACAAGTCCACAGTTTAAAGTTATCGACTCATCTTCTAAGTTTATATTTAAAACAGAGGCCATGTCGTTGCAATTATTAGTTATGCTACGTGCACGAGTTATTAAAGTTCCGTGGCCTATCTCGACCGTATTGTCGCTTAAACATTGAGCCAGTAGCTTTGTTATTCCGTTTATTATTTCAAATTGGCCCGGTAATAAGAAATATTCTTTGCCCGGGGGTCCCCTGATATCCCCATGAACGTAAATAGAACCAGAAATATCCTTTTCAGATTTAGCACAAATTATAGAAAGGCCATCACGTTTTAAGACTACCTTTTCAGAAACTACAAGAGGTATCTTAACATTTTCAATTTGGAAGTTACTTCGCTTTATAATCAAATCTGAAGGGGTTTTAATAATTTCTATTGTAGGGCGCTCAGTATACGTGTGTCCAATGAGTATAGGATGGCTTATCATGTAGTCGTCTACTATTAATGCTTTTACATTTTCTTCAACTACACCTTGAATATCTATAGTTACGTACGTTACTCCTAATGGTCGATAAGGAGTATTTCCTAATCCTTTCAGAACAGGAGAATCAACAGCCTGCCATTTAACACATAATTTCTCTGCATCTGACAATCGAATTAAAGTGCAGTCACTTCCTAAATCGATATGAGCAAGAAGGACATTACCGTTGACCTTTACTGGAACTCGGTACTTCGCATTGCTATTTTCAGGTATATTAACTTCCATTACCGTTTTGACACTGGTTCCCGGTTTATCTATATGTTTAGATGTTTGGCTAATATTTTTGGGACAGTTTTCTGCAGTGTGGCCTCTCCACCTACAGTTTTTACATTTAATAGTCGGCTTAGGGCACCTGTAAAATGTATGACCCGTCTCATTGCAATTGTAGCAAGTTACTTTATGGTCAGGTTTGCTTGTTTTTCCCGTATCTGAAGAGCTTGTAATATTGGAGGCGACATACCTTTTCTCTTTATTTTTATTAACATCTAGCTCTTTATTTTGACCAACTCTTATAGTTTTAAAGTATTTTAAAAGCTGTTCTGGCTCATTAAATTGGGCTGCTTGTATGCTTAATCTAATACCACGATCCTCGATTCCATAAATTATGCAGTCTACTGCATTTTTACCAAAAATGGAACATCTGTTTAATAGGTTAAGTTTTGAATAGTAATATAATTCCAAAGGTTCACCAAATTTTGATTTTTTACTAAGCATCTCCGTTAGTAGCTCTGCATAATTTTCTCTAGATGGAAACGAGTTTAGCAGTTTTTCTTTCCATTCTCTCCATGAAAAGAAGACCGACGGCAATCCTTGGTACCACGTTTTTGCAACTCCGCAGAGTTTTGGCAAGGCATAATGGATTGTTTGCTTATCGTTCCAATTATATATTTGGGCGCACTCTTCTACTTTTTGAATCCAAGTATCGACCGTCTGTTCTCTTGTCATGGGATCAAAATCTGGTATAACGTTAAGAGCTGGAAATCTATCACTATTATCGGAATTTTTCTTGTAATCTTTCATTATATCTAACATTTTCTCAAATAAGCTAGCGTTCATGTGGTTCCTGTTAGGCTGACCATCATCGAGTTCAATCAAATGTTCGCGTTCTACATTACGAGAATGACTATGGTCACCAGTAATATTAAAGTTAAAACTCTGCTTACTTGAGTCCCTCCTGGTTCTGCTTACTCGGGGCGTCCGGGAAACCACCCGTGATGCTGACCTCGATCGCGCACGTCTCGGCGATTTCGACCGCACGCGGAGCAGAGACTTAGACCGGGCACGGTACAATGACCCTGACCGCGCACGATGCGAAGAACTGGACCGTGCTCGGTGTCGTGATCTAGACCGCGAGTGATGCGACTGGGTTGGGCTAAAGTCTCGTCGTTCATCGCGCCTTTTCTTTGACCGTCGCGACTTTAGTCGTTTGTCACGTGGCATTTTTATGGACGGTATCCCACTTCTGAGATGTAGAAACAAACTTCAGTACACAGTTATTACTCTATATGATGTAAAAAGAAACTTCAGTTCACGGTTAACACTCTATATTTCATGTTAAATAAACACAGTTTACACTTATTCTCTTTTATTTCTCAACAATGAATTAATCAACTTTATAAACTTTCAATTTACACTAGTTCACTCCGACACGACTATTACAGTACAAATTCTATTGTATGTCCTCGGACACGCCCGTCATTCCGTTTTATAGTTTCCCTTCCACTGCCAGGCGGAAGGGTATTTTAGTAGTTTCAATACTTCTAAGTTACATATATTGACATTTCAATTGTAGTGGAATATACTACATATATTATGAATATACTTACAATATTTAATTACGGTGTAACAATAATATATTAATAATAGGATTAATTATGATTATTAACATCTTTTATTACAATAGATTTCTCTATTCTTTTCCTTCACTTTTAATAAAGATGAATTGATTGACGACTCATTTGGTAAAATTGGTCTAATGGGCTGCTACGGTGAAACATACATACAAACATAGAATGTCAAGTGCAGAACACTTTGTTTGAATAGTTGTAATCGGTTATTTATATAGGTTGAAAGTGACCACCCTTGGTTGTAACAAATCATGTCAAAGTAACCGTCACATCATGGCATCACTAGTATGGTAATTTTGCAAAGTTAATTTCATAGATTGTTTTCATAGAATGTTAAGTCCAACATGTTGAAAACGATTATGTTACTATAAAGATATAGATACCTACATTCAATATTTCAAACAAAAAAAAACTAAAGTTCTGGATCACTGAATACAAAGAGGTTATTTCGCCGGCACAATTCCGCGTTAAAATAAAATGCCAAAATTACGAGGGGGCACACTGATACTATCGGGAATAAGAAAAACCACTTGCACGGTATAGCTAAATTGTATTTTATTGTTTTTCGAAGTATTCTCCGTTCAACTTAATGCACTTTTCTATTCGTGCAAACCAATCATTAAAACAGTAATTCCAGTCTGAAGTTGATGTTGACAAAATGGCTGATTTGTACGCTTAAACAGCTGCTTCGGGGTCTTCAAACCGTCGACCGCGTAATAAATCTTTCATTCTAGGGAATGTAAAGAAATCGTTTGGGCTCAGGTCAGGACTGTACAGAGGATAGCTCATCAGCTTAATGTTTCCCTGCTTCAAAAAATCATTTGTCTTCCGAGCCGTATGGGACCTCACATTATCGTGATGTAAGATGATACGACGTTTCGGGTTATTTTTTCGGAGTTCGGCTATCATTTCTGGAAAACAAACCGTGATATACCACTCAGCGGTAACCGTTCTACGTTCCTGTAAAGGAATTGTAGCAACATGCCCCTTTTTCGAGAAAAACGTAGCGACCATTTTCTTTTACACGCTGCGGGAGCGAACCACTTTCTTTGGTTTGACCTCGTCTTCGAAGACCCAAACTGCTGACTGATGTTTTCTTTCAGGTTCGTATGAATAAATCCATGATTCGTCACTTGAGACGATATTGTAAACGGCATTTGACTTCCCTCCGTTAAAGCGTTGCAGAGTATTCCGGCACCAATCTACACGAGCCGCCTTTTGCTCTTCGGACAAATTGGGGGGAACCCAGCGGGAAACTAGCTTTCTTACACACAGCTCATTATGTAATATCGACTGAATTGCAGTCATTCCGATACTGATAACAGCCCGAATCTGCTCGTATGTCACATGACGGTCTTCTAATATAATAGTTCGCACAGCTGCGATGTTTTCAGGCGTGACCGCTGTTCTTGGTCGACCTGCAGAAGAAACAGTGCTGAGCGACACACGACCGCGTCGGAACTCGGCATACCAGCGGTATATTGTCGTTTGACTCGGTGCTTCAACATCATAAATCGAAACAAGTTCGCTGAGACATTTATCTTGAGATAAGCCGCAACGAAAATTGTGATAAATTATGGCACGGAAATGTTCACGCGTGAGCTCCATTTCTGTTAACGACGTGTCAATTTTAAACCAACATAGGTTTTGTTTTAAACATTTTTTTAATTGTTTGAATATCACTAAGATTCTAAGAGGCCAGTATTCAAATTCTAAAAAAGGTTTGTAACTCAATCCGAAATATTCTACTTCCGATCATTTCAGTGTGCCCCTCGTAACTCTCATGTTGCCATATCAAAAGCAATGCTGTCAATTAGTTATGGTATTTTCATACAAAACATCTCGAAAAACATTACGTTTTCAGTGTTAATCGTAATTTTGTACCAGTACACCCCTAATGGCAAAGTTAACATCTATTGGTAAAGTAAAAATCTATTGGTAAAAAAAGACCCGACTGTAATTTAAAAGTTTCTAACGTAGTGATAGTGTAGTAGCTGCGAATGGAAATCAAAGAGAGTTCATGGCCTATTTCTGCTTTGCCTATTAAAAAGTCATTAGAAGGACAGGGTTAATACAAAATAAATATACATTTAATAGTTTTTATTCATATCTCAAATTTATTATATTTATATTGAATACTTTGATGATAACCCTTATTTACTTTCTTGAACATTTTAGGTTACCCATTGTGTGGGCGACAAGTATAGTGACGAGAGCTCGAAAGGAAGGAAGGATAAGAGATGACTTCGCAGTGAAAACGATCATAGATGAATTAAACAAATTTAGAGGGCAGGCTGGATTGCTACTCAGTTATGACACTATAAGTGTGCCTTTAGTGTATACACAGGTAAGGTAGATATTAGGTACTTTTAATTATGGTATTATTGTTGCTTTGAATCTGATACTCGTAGCCGTGTGTTGTAGAAGTCAAAAGTTATCTATTACTCTGCAGGTTGCGAATACGAATTCCAGTGGGTATTAACATTTTCAATCAAAAATGTAACGTGCCGGAGAAGAGACATTGCACCGCATAAGCTTGCTTGATTTTTGACCTTTAATGACTTTATTAAAACATTTCAGATTAATAGCGTTTAAGAGTTAGGCGTTAAGTATCAGCCGTGGTGGTTTAAGCGTTTATACGTGGTAGAGCCATGCTGCAGCTATATTAGTAGTACAGTTGTAGCACGAATAAGTCGGCTCTACCGGGGACAGACCACGCTCTCACAGAATACGAGCGTAAAATAGCAGCTTAAAACTGCTGTTTCGTATTGGTATGGTAAGTGTAGAGAACCGAACACCCTTTTTACTGGAAATGAGGCATTCCTTCTGAGTCCTCACAGGTGACAACGCATCTGCATTTTGATTTGTTATAGTCCCATCAGGTGGACTGTGTGCTCGTTTCTCACCTTTATCCTATAAAAAAAGAGATATCGGTTAAGAGTTAGCCGTGGCGGCGTATTTCGATCCACTTTTGTCTGAAATATATCATTACGGAAAAGGATAGATGCCTGACCGGTATCGACCCGGACAGACCGGCGCGGCGTCGGAAAAAAAAATATGTATATCCTGCGACTTTAGTGCGGTTAGCCATTTGGATTTTACGGCTTCATCGGACTCGGTGCCTCCCAGGCTGTAATCTATGTAAAGGAGGACAGATGATGATTTTAATGATGCCTGATGATGATGATGCAATTTTTTTACCGTGTCCGTCTGTTTCGTATGCGACGTATTGCGACTATTATAATAAAATCCAAAAAGATTTTACTATAATAGTCGCAGTTTCTTACGTGGTAGAGCCATGCTGCAGCTATATTATTAGTATAGTTGTAGCACGAATGGGTCGGCTCGACCAGGGAAGGACCACGCTCTCACAAAAAACCAGCGTAAAATAGCAGCTTAACGCTGCTGTGTTTTGTATGGTGAGTGTAGAGAACCGGAGACCCTTTTTACTGGCAAAGGGGCATTCCATCTTAGTCCTCACGGGTGACAACGCATCTGCATCTTGAGTCTTTATTGAGGATAGATGTAGATGTATATGGGTCACAGTAACCACTTACCATCAGGTGGACTGTGTGCTCGTTTGTCACCCTATCCTATAAAAAAAGATGTCATGGCTTTACCGTAGATGGTGGTATCACCAATTAGTGTAAGCCAAATGTAAAATACCCAGGCCAGCTGGGAGCAGTGACAAAGGTGCGAGACATCTGGTTTTGCGATCGACAAGCCGCCTTCTAAGTGTCGATTATGACAAATCCTTACTTCAATGGGAGAGGCACATGTCCAGCTGTGGACAAGCTAATGAAGAAACATTTTTTTATAATAATGTAATTCTTATCTGGCTCACGTAAATAATACAGTAGGGCGAGGGGAAGATTGGTTACTGAATAGTAGTGTTTGTCGCGCTGTTCCAGTGTGCATATTTTTATATGAGATATCGGACTTAACATCACTTCGAAAAATTTTTTAAAATAAGTAATATAATAATAAGTAGAATATTCATTGCATTGCATGTTATATTTGAACACTTATTTCAAAATAAAAAATCAGTAAATAAGTAAGTATATAAAGTTCGAATGCGTTCATCTGGATGACGCACTGGACGAACGATTAGGAGCTCAGGCTCGTTTTAATACTAACCCCAGACAAGTCTTGAGCTTCCAATGTTGTTTTTGTGTTTTGTTTCGCAACAGGACGTTGACGGCGCGACTTTGAGACGCGCCCAGTCATTTCTGTATGTTTTACAGCGGTATAATATGCTTCTCTATACATTTTTAGAAAATAGGTTCAAAAGGGGCGCCGCGTCCTCGTTCAATGACCCTTATTGCAGCTCGTGCCACAGAATAAATAATAGCAGTAATAATAAATAATCCTACTACGTACTCGCGTCTTAGGAAGAATTTTATTAATAAGTTCTTTCTTCTTTATGTCATTTTCCATTAATGATAAGTTAATGATAAGAAAAGAGTAAGCGGTTCTAAATTGTTTCCTGTTTTTTATTCACCGTAATTACGTCTACATTAAGGCGTTAAGAGAAATTACCTAATGTAAATGTAATATGTAGAACATTACATTACATAGGAACGCACCAATACACCAAAGTACCTACATTGGTGAATTTTACAGCGGTCGCTATCGTAGTTATGAATAGATTTACTTTCTCATTCTCATCGATCACTCGTAATGTCACGAGCTCATTAATAAGCAGCCATTACTTGAATTAGATTTCACGTTTTTGTTTGTTTTTAGCGTTAGCGATGTAGGGGGGATCCCTCTATTACTAGCCTTTTAAGTTGAACGCACATTTGTCCGTGCCGTACACGCCGTACGCGCCAAATTTTAGAATTCGTTATTTGAAATCATATTATGAAACCTGGCACATTACACCCGCACCGTACGCGCCGAATTTTATAAAATGCGGTAGGTATACGATATCGAAGGACGAATGCTGATGACGTCATATAACGCGGCGCGTTCGGTTCGTGCTGATACCACATGAGTCTCTTTACTCTGTGCTGATACTCAGTGTTGTCTAATGTGGCCAACTTAGTGGATTTTCCAATATAACTGGTGGTTTCGATTTACATGATAATTTTTGTATTTGTATAACTTTTAATTCATTCGTAAGTAATTATACATAATTTGAATTTTTTTTGCATCGATTAGCAATATGTATTCCTAGCGATAAATTATTTAAATACTGAACTAACAAAAAAATAGTTATATTTAATCCAAAAACCCAATTATACCTGATTACTTAGTTATCAATTAAAATACTTACCTCAAACATACAACAAGTCTTTTTTACCTAGTTCAATTGGCCTTCTAAATCTTGAAAATAACGATGAACGATTCTTTTAAATCTCTTTAAAAGAATCGTTCATCATCATCTAATAAGTCTTTAAATAAAGTATATCCCATTCATATTCTCCATACAATTGCCTTTTAAAATTAATATTATGATTACAGAATCTTCTTCTTCGAATTTTATTTTCTTCTTCCTCTGCCAATAAGCAGGTAATTACTATATTTCTAAGATAATTAATAGAATCAAGCGTTACTTTGCGAAAGTCCATTATATTAAATTTGACAAAAAATTACTTTACGTACATCCGCTAGATAAAATAAAATGATGTGTCTTACCTAGTTTGAAGAGCACCTCCCGCCCTCCCTCAATTGCGTGCACTATCCCCGTCACCACTAATCCCAGCACCACTACTGCCAACATCACTACACTAGGAAAGACACACCACTGACGACAATACGACACGTGTTTCGCCTCTACACGAGGCATCCTCAGGTGATATAGACTCTACGGTGGCTAACCGCTAAGTGAGCGGCGAGCCAAAACAACTGCTATTTATACAGACCGCTGACGCAACCGCTCTCTACTTAAGGAGTGAGCGACTGCGTCATGCGATAAAACATGCCACCAATCACCGCCAGACTTACGCAGCTGTTTGTAAAATTAAAAACAAACCGCCGCGCAACGCCCGCCTACCTTCCAACCACGCAACCAATCGCTGATCACCGTGAGGGTGACAAACGAACATATTGCGAGGCTCTCTATAAAACTACAAAATTATTTGGCAATACAAAAGATTTGCGTACGGCGCGGACGATGCGTATGGGCAAATGTGCGAGGCCATCAGTAAAACTCGGCGCGTACGATGCGAACGGTGCGGACAAATGTGCGTTCAGCTTTAGTGCCAATTTTCAATTTACAAATTCGTGCTATTGTAAAAAGAGCACAATAGCCGGTACCTTTGTTTTAGTAGATAGGTTAAATTCACTTTTTCATTCATTATATTATTTCAAGAACAATTTAAAAACTAATAGAAAGGGCGTTGTGTCCAATTTCGGCCGTTTTATACCGAATGTCGTTCATGCCAGCCTAGGGGTTGTCCATAATTACCTGAGGGGATTTTGGCGATTTTACTAATCTTCCCCCCACCCCTGGTGAGATGTCGTGAGATATATGCATAGTTTTAGTGTAAATTACGTTAATCTTCACTTGATTGCGTTGGGTTTTCTCGAAATTTACACTACGTGCATGGACGTATAAAACGTATAAACAAGGCTGACTGAATCTCGCTATACAACTCACCGAGGCACCCATAATAAGTCAGCTCTCTTGTACGTACAAGGGGTCACGCACACATTTACACTAATAATAAGTCTACCACCCGCCATTACGCAACAAACGTCGTCCGCGAGAAGTAGTTGTCGTAAGTAAAAACAAAAATCAATATGCCGTCTTGCGTCGTTAAATTTTGTAAAAATCATAGTGGTTTTATCAAAAAACATCAAAGGATCACCTTTCATGTCATGTGTCAGTAATTATAATCACTTATTTGAGAATTTTATGTCTTAAATTAAAATTCTACTTTTAGAATACAGATCATGGTCACGTGATCAGTGTTGTTAATTATTTATAGGGAAAATTACCCGAAATTTGGGAAATTGCTATTTTTACCCACGTTTGCACGGATACGGTATATATGTTTGCCCAACAACCTCTTAAGGTTGTTTTATATGCACTTTTTTGTTACAATTTTCCTGAAAAAGTATCCGGTAGATTATAATGCGGTTAAATGCATTATTTGGCCGTAGTCCATTATGTTGTACTGTAATCGTTATTTTTATTTTTTACTATGTTACCATTTCCTGAAAATTGGACTGATTATAATACGGTTAAGAAGGTTCTTAAATGTGTTGTCATGTTTAATTTAATATATAAATCTCATACCGAATCAAAAATACATATCAAAATTATAAATAAATTATTCCAGCCAAATAAAAGTAAAGCGAGATGGGAGGATAACATTTGTTATTACTCGGTATCATATGTCTTAAAGAGCTAAGTGCAATACAGCTTTCCTTGGCACTTTAATAAATACAGAAAGCTTAAAATATTTATACGAAAAATATATTCATAATGAAAAAAAAATATGGACCTGCCAACCTCCAAACTAAGTCAGGATCATTTAGAAATATTTTTTTCTTGTATTCAAATGCAAGGTGATTTTAATGACAACCCTAATGTCAGACAGTTCTCAAGTTGCTACAGAAAACTGCTAGCACATCTAGAAATTAGGTGCTTAACTACAGGAAATTGTGTTCCTTTGGAAAAAGTAGCTGTGCTTAATTGCATTTCGGCTACTCAAATAAGCAATTCCACCACACCATCATACCGTCACGAAGAAGATGATGATAGTATTTGTGATCCATTATCATTTTTAAATGAAATTACTAAAGAAGATGATGAGCTAGCTAAGCGACTAGGGGTAGAATCACATAATGACTATCGTAAGTTAATAATAGGATATCTGGCGGGTAGCATTGCTTATTATGCAACAAAAAAATAAATGCCAAAAATGCACCGCGCCTTTGTATACTGTAGAAAGGCATTTCTCTAATAAATAAATAAATAAATTTGAAAAATAATAAACAAAGTTAGGAGGTTTACGTTTTTCATCTAACGTTTTATTTAATATTTGTTATACCTGCGAAATGGTTGTACGAAATATTATTAAGTAAAACATTACAATGTACAATGAAAGGCAACAAGAGTATTTACTTACAAAAATATTAGAAAAGTTTATTGCCAATGACAGGGATTTTGTAAGATTGAAATTTGAGCACACATTCGCAAGGATAGAGCACACGATAAGTCTTACTAAATATATAGCAGAAAAGTATTTGGCGATTCGATTCCACCATATTTCTAAATTAGAGGGGATTTCAAGAAACTTCGAAAGTAAAAGACAGTTGTTTAAAAAAAATTCAACAAAAAGGTTTTTAACATTGTTGTTTGTTATGGAAATGAGTAAATTATGGTTATTATTTTTGACTTATTGTCATAAATAATAACTACAATTTACACTTGCAGAAAATTTCAAGAAATTAATATATTACCTTTGGCTTCTTGGTATATTTACGAAAATTTAATGTATGTATTTGTATTTAGTGATGTACATTCTGTAAATACTATAAACAAGCACAAGTTAGTTATACCAGTTAATCGACTTAAAAGAGTCAGTAATTTCTTCATATATACGCTTTCATAACAAAGTCCGAGAAAATATGCGGGCCTTATCTATCAAAGTTTAAAAATTTTGGCAAGTAAAAATTGTTTAGTAAGGATTATTAGGGTATACTACTAAAGAGTACGTGATTGATAATAACCCCTGAGAATGAGGTGATCGCTACCATGCTGTTTCTAAATGTTTTCATACTAATTCTAAAATAATATATTATAAATTAGTTTTATATTAATTTTTTGGTTACCTATAATATGTTTATTTGTTATATATTTCGTTCCAATAATATTATACAATTTTTGTATAATATAATGTTTGTAATAAAATTAATTTAAATCGAAATTGATTGAAATAGAATAATTCCATTCCAATCAAAATCTAAATCTTAAATTCGTAGATTTTTTTTAATCGTCAAATGTGTTATTTATATTAGTTACGTAATAATAAATTGGTATTTCGTCAAAGTTATGTTATATTTCGACAAATTGTTTTATAAAAAAAAATGGGAAATTTTGTTTTACATGACAACTCTTTATAACACGCAAACATACTTGCACCGCCGCCATTACAGTGCATCATTCCTGTCTTGACAAAATTCTGTCCGCCTTATTTATACGTCCATGACTACGTGATATTTGCCGAGACCCTCCTGCCTAATTTTTATGAGTTTCGTTTTCACAACTCATATAAAAATCATGAATTGTATGGATAAAACTTTTACATACACTTCTTTCTTATTTAAATAACTCTTATCTCTCTGTTGGAACTTGTAACGTACATATAAGTAATTAGCATTGCGTATGATGGTATCGGTGCTAATACAAAAGAACAACATAGTTCACAAATACTGTTCGTGCTTGTTAATTTTCTGAGAACACACCAAGAAAAATATTTTTTTAATAAAACCAAGCAGGTTTAAGAGGTCAGCTATGTTATAGGCTATATTTTTAATAACCTTTATTTTTATATTTAGCTATATTTTTAATAATTATCAAAAGTACTTTTCTATAAATACGACAAATGTTAACCTTGCTACTATGTTAAACTTACTAAACAAATTGAGTCTTCCAGTGATATAAAAATGGTGTGACGTGAGTATACTCGGCGGCCATCTTAATCACACCTTTCCAATGTTAGGCCCATTATGCAGAATATTCAGAATGCTTGTATCTCATACTCCAACCGTTTCTTTATTAAACGGACATCTTCTAATTCTAACCTATTTTTTCCAAATTTTCCGCAGTGGTTGCCTCCTGGACAGGCGCCGGACGTTTCGCTCAGGGCTTCTGCTTTGCTTAAAGTGGTTGTAGCACTTGTAAATCATGGCTTTCTCAGACAAATACCTCATAAACTGAGGCCATCTCTTCCGAAATGGTTTGAAGAAGTTTTCCCTGCTTACATATAATCTTAATGAAGGCGTGGATTTCTATTTTCTCCCTTTTCTGGTTCCGTATCGTAACGGAAAAATTTGGAACCCTTAGTGATTTTTGTCCGTCCGTTTATTAAGACCCGTTTCCACAGGAACGGATAGAGATATCAATTTGAATTTAATATCATATATTATACTAAATATACAACGTGTCCCCAAAATTCACGTAAAGGTATAAAATGTATATATAAATATAAATCCAAGATTTTAAAGTCAACGCAATCAAAAGATACACCTATGTACTTATATCATATATTTGCGAGTATAATGGCAAAATAAAGATAAAAATTGTATAAGCTCTTAATGGCAAAATGGGTAAAAAGACCTGGGCGGTTCTCACCGCCCAGAACATCGACCAACACGACCTATGCAATCAGAGGCGGGGGTACGCACACCCCCACTCAGACCACAGTTAGATAGCTTAATAAACCTCAACAGAGAGGATATGATGATTGGTGACAATACCAAATCATAAACCATCATTATCCTCATCCTCATTGCCGTCTTTCCCCTTTTTTAAATGTCAAAATGAAGCTGTAAGAGCCGCATAATCTAACAGCGTCAACATCTCGAAGATAGATGATAGATGATGTGTTACAGGGTTTCGCAATAAAGGTCACAAGGCTAGCGTCGAAATTTCTATTAAAAATTATGATGATGATGTATTTAAGATGAAATGTAATGATGTAAAAGAATTCATTACCCTATATCGTCCTGTTGGTGTCGTAAGAGGAGGCTATGGAATATACTAAAAAGATCTTATGGCATCCGATAGATGGCGGTATAGTCATCTTGTTTACGCTACACCTAAAATATCTGGATCATAGATTAGTAGTATACGAGTATGTTATACAGACAGGCGATGGAGAGCAGCGTCAGATACGAGATGTAATTGCAATCGTCAATCCGCTTGCCAAGCAACGTGACGGATAAGGCAAACTAACTGGTAAGGCCCATTATCCAGCAGCGGACTCTTACAGATTAAAGGAGAAGACCATTTTAACATGGTGAAACTGAAATCATTGGCATCCATTGCACCTACTCACATAGGTTACGACGTAGAATATGTTCCTTATAACTTTTTTCTAGGTGAACCGATTTTGATCATTTTTTATTTAAAAGTTGGTGCTTCTCATCTAGTCCCATATAAATCAAGGTCTAACCAGTAGCTTTAAATCGGTTATATAACCTTTTTAATTTAACTACTTGTGAAAGTTCACGATTTATTGCTGTTTACTTTTTTTTTACATTTTGAGTTTATAAGGATGCCATTGATTTCAAATTCAACATGTGTAACGTAAAGTAAAGCCTGATTGTATCGATTATTTTGTAGGTAATGTAGTCCAGGCTCTGTAGCTGCACGAGTTTTGCCTCTCTCAAGGAAATAAGGTCTTTGTAGTGGTTGTTTTGTCTATTAGTGGTTATTAGATTTTTTTTATATTACTGCTTACAAAACCAACCAACTAACTCTTTTAAATTAATATAGGGTTTATATATCCCTATAATACTTTAAAATATCTACTTTTTATCGTTGGCGTTGTAAATGCCACAAAATATGATATTTTGTATAATAGTTAAGGACCATTAGTGCATTAGTGCCTTAACACAAATGTTTATATTTTATGTATTTTGGGCATTAACGAAAACGGTTAGTTCGTTTTGTTTCGTTTTTAATTGAATGTCAAACAATTAAAAAAGAAGTTTATTTTTGTTTTAGGTGGTCACTATAGCCGTGTACTCGTACTTCATAACTTCCGCATTGGGCAGCCAATGGGTGGATAATAAACTGCAGTCGACACGCAGCGATGTCTACATAAGTAATATAGACCTTTATTTCCCCATATTTACTACTCTAGAGTTCTTTTTCTACATGGGCTGGTTGAAGGTGGCGGAGACTTTGATTAACCCATTCGGAGAAGATGACGACGATTTCGAAGTAAACTGGCTGATTGACAGAGATTTACAGGTTTGTATGAATTTAATTGTAAAAAATGGCGTTCGTAACGTTACGAATGAAATTCATAAGCTAATAAAAACAACTGCAGTGTCGTCGTAGTAATATCACGACATAGTAAAATACGCTCCGCCCACTTAGATCCACAATCGTGATCCCTATAGTTGGATCTATTATTTTTTATAGTATAGGGGTGATTAACGAGCATACAGTCCACATGATCCTAAGCGGATGATGTGGCGCAGATGCATTGTCACCCTTGAGGACTAAGATGGAATGTCTTGTTTCCAGTAAAAAGGGTCTCCAATTCTCTACACTCACCAAATGAAACACAGCAGCATTAAGCTGCTATTTTACGCTGGTATTCTGTGAGAGCGTAGGCCTACCCCGGCCGTGCCAACACATTCATGCAACAATCATAATATAGCTGCAGCGTGGCTCTACAACGTTTGAACAAAAGACGAATGCAAAAACAAGTTTTAGCGTAATTTTGTTTCAATTGAATCAATTTACATGATACTTTGTTGATTGTATTTGTTTACGACGTAAGTAGGTTTATACATTTTGTATTATTGTGTTTATTGTGGTAAAGTACATTAAATTTATTCAAACATTTAATAAAGATGTAAAATGGCTAAAGCGTATTAATATTTAAAATATTGAAGTAGCCATGCACATAGTTAAATGTAAAATACAAAGCAGCATAGAAACTACATTATGTTATCTTTGGACCACCATACGAAGTTTGTAGTAAATTAATTGCTTATTTTTTACACTTATAAAATGATAAAGCTAATTAATAGCATAACTAAATAATTCTAAAATCGTTAAAATAATAAAGCAGCAATATAAAGTCTTGTACAATGTCTAAATTAATGTTTTTAAATGTACACAATACACACATTAATTCATATTTCGGTGTATATTGTACTAAATTTTGTGCCAATCTATGGGGAGGCCCATGTTAAGCACATGTGGTGGACTGTAACCTGTATCGATGACGATGCAAGACTTAAATCGGCAATTAATAAAACATCTGACTTTCTTATTTTTATAGTTAACTGGTAACTGAAATATGTTCGTATAACTTCTAGGCAATGACAATTCTGTTTGTTTTAAATTGTGTTTAAATTTTCCTGTAATTTGTAATAATAATTTATTATCGCTCGCCTTGGCATGACTGTATCATAAATGAGTTCGCATCATGCTATACAACAACTATGCCTTTGATTAATTCCGCACTTTAGTGTGTACTTCCATAATGTAACAAGAGTTAATTACTCAAGTTTTAGCCGTAATCATTTTAAATAGAGAAGTAAAGCACAGTCACGCTTCGGATACTAAGATAGCACGACTTGTTTAGAAACTACATGATAACGAAGACGAAACTTTGTATCGAATAGAAGGTTTTCCAGAAAATCGTACCTACTTCGTACGCTTTTTCAGTTTGTATCAATCAAAACATACTCAAGGACCTACTCCTGATACTCTGCATTCGTTTCTTTCTCTCGACGTTTAGTTTTCTGAACGTTTCACTTCTACCGCGTGTGACCTGCACACATGTTCTTTTTTCTTAATTTGATTAATTTAAGTCACTTGATCGTTTGTTTTTTCGACGTTTGCAATTTTAAATTAACGAATAAGAAATAAAATCCAAATTAATAAACTTAATTGTCACAAATATCCATGATATTTTGTTTTATACACACTTTTTTTGCGTTCCTCTAACTTTGTCTAATAAGAGTGTATAATGCCATGAGCGTTACGTGTGCAAATTAACTTGTCACAATTTACTAAAAATCCTTTTATTTACCTCTTGTAGGTTTCGTACATGATCGTCGACGAAATGCATCATGAACACCCCGAGCTGATCAAGGATCAGTACTGGGACGAGGTGTTCCCATCGGAATTACCCTACACAATCGCTACAGAGAATCACAGGGAGGAACATCCAGAACCTTCTACGGCACGAGTAACGGTCCCCGTGAGGCAACGCAGTATGGCCACTGTCGCACCATCTAGCCTCAAGATCGACGAAATGGTCCCCTCGAACACCGTGAGTTACAAGTTCGCCCCGCCCGAGGTTAGATTCGCCCATTTTTTAAAGCATGCTGCACGCTCAGAACTGTATGGAGCTTCGCAGTGTGACGGTGTGAAGGGTTGCCAATGCCACCATCAGCATCTGCTACTCTTGCGACTATAGGTGAATGGAATGTCGATTACGGTTGAGGCATTAATTTATGCTCTATTATTTATTTATCCTTTTATATTAAATCTATAACCCTTTCCTATAAACAATGAACTAATACAAGAAATATGAAATAAGTTATTATAAATATTTTAGGTTACTGTCATAACTAGTGTTTTTTTTTTTTTGAGTATATGGTGAGGATGCAACTGTGATAGATTAATCAATTATTACGTTACGTATTATATATTTCTTATCTAAAGTTATTGCTCTACAATTATAATCAAAAGATAACTCTTATGAATTCTGCCGACTTCTACTTAATATCTAGTAATAAATACGTACAGAATTTAAATTATTAGATATGAATACCTTATCTATTAATTACTAGATTAACTAGTAATCATGTTATAACGTTGAATTTATCATGCTATGGTAGGAAGTTGTGTTATCTTCTTACCAATGTATCAGGATTATGGCATATATGGCAACCCTTGTTGCGCGCAACCCCAATTTGCTAACATTTTTAAATTACAATTTTTCTAAGAAATAGGATTTAGCTAATTGAACTGGGAACAGTTACCTTCGATATAAACGGACCTTGCTTAAGCTACTCTTCGCAAAGGCTGTACCTACATAAAAACAAAATAAAACTGGAATGTTTTTATTATAATAATGATTTATTGATGAATGATGTTTTTGCTGATAGTCATTATAGATAAATCAATTGCGAATGGTAATTGTTTTTCTACGAAAATCAACTACTTGTGTAGCTATCCACACTATCTTCACTAACACTTTAAGAGACATTTTTTTAGAAATAAATTTATTTATTAACGTGTATTAACATATTATTACATAATAATAATATTGTTAATAATGATTTTATAATAATAATATCTCATGCTTTCCTACTTAGTTTGTGTGAGTTTATAATACTTATATAATAATATTTCTTGCTAATTCTTTCTAGGGATTTGTTGTTTACTTTTACTAATAGTAGATGTATGGGTCTTAAATTTTTACTAATTGTACTCGTATGTGTTAAAGTTGTTTGTGAAGTTTAATCTCTCACCTATATACCTACATGTTATGACGTGTTACATTCTTGCTGTAAATAAAGCTCTTCGCTCTTGTGTTGTAAAGTTTTGATGTCTTTATTGAATAATTTACAAAAAAAAAACTATTTTAAAATTTAAAATAAAAGTACTGGGACATTCTGGATGTTTATAAAAATTAATTACCTATTGTGCGTGTCCATCGTAACATGAAATTTGAATTTGGAAGAAATAAAATTAACTTCCATTAGAAAAAGAAAAAATTCTCTCTATACCTTTAACTTAGCGGTCATATTAAGGTTGCGTATTTTTCCAATATAGCAACTACAAATGAACGAAGACGCAGCATCGGGGATCCACTTTATTGTCTCCCGAGGCAGTAAACGCGGTAAAAAAGAAGACAGAAATTCGATGGGGTCAAGCAATTCCATGGCGTCTCTCCAACAAACTCCAATGACACGAACGAATTCCGTCACATCTATGCTTAAAAGATTGTTTTCAAAGGAGGATCAGAAACAATCTGCTGTACCGGTGTCAACGCAGACTGATGGAGGTAAGAATAATGTTAGCGATATATATATTTTATACATGAAAAGTACCAGGAGGCCCAAACGTTACAGAAAGATAGCTCTATTATAAGATTATAACTATGCTTATAAGTCCTGCGGGCAGCAAAATGAACGTAATTGAATATTGCACATAGTAACCTTCGCTATGTGAAATATTTAATCGAAATGAGACCAATAAAATTGAGATTAATCTTTATCCCACTTCTCAATCGGCCCCCAGTGAGGAACACGGGGAATCTAAAAAACCTTACTAGTAGTTTCACTAATAATTAGCTTTGTTCATACTCCTGGGATTGCGTAAGGGAGCGCAAGGAATAAAACAAATATAATTACATCGATCGGATAGTTTTTATTCGCCATTTTCAATCACAATTGATCCGTCTGTAGTTTTGTGATTAAAACCACATAATAAATAATATCTAGTACCAAAAGCGACGCAATAGGTCGATTACCTGTTCATTTATGGTGTAGAAATTAATATAAAACTTGCCACTGTAAGCGTTTATGGTGTACAATATTATTTTGAACTTCTTCGTGAAAATTTCCATTGCATTAAGGCTTATAAGTAGATAGGTAGATTTACATACATTTGTTTTATCTTTAAGTGTATATCAAATATCATAATGCTGATAGCATAATATTGCACGGTTTAGATGCTTAAGATAGAACTGCTCGCAAATAGAAACAAAATTTAACATTGTCTACCTATTTCCATGAGTTTTTAAATGATTGTTTTTTACAACATTATTTTTTCTGAATTCAAATTTTGAAAACTCGATCGATTTGGCGTCATTGCACATTAATGTTTTTTTCATTGTGATTGTAAAAGCAATACATTATACTTATAGTATGGGGCGTAAAACGGCATTTTAGTGTTTACTTCATAAGTTAGACTTATGTTATACATAAGCATAGCTTGCTTATGTATAGTCTACTAACTACTACTATACGTACAAAATTGGACAAAATATTCGTCGCGCTCTAATGTGTGTGTCACAATTAACATCAAACTACAATATGTAAAGTACGACTCAGATAACTACACATGACCCTAAGAGGAAATTATATAACCAATAGAGTATTGAAGTAAATAGTAGTTTGGTGTACAACAACTTAACTACAACCGCGGTACCACCAACGACGATCTCCAAGCCCAAGCACTTGGTAATATTATAGTCTGCTGACATTTTGAACATTATTATTTATAAATCAAACAATTATTTAAAGTCTAGTAGTCCTTAACTCCTTAGAGTACTTATACATAGGCAAGCTACTTATGTATACTCTAACGCAGGGGTTCCCAAAGTGGTCGATATCGACCCCTTGGGATCGAAAAATAATTATCGATCGGTTTTTCAAAAAATAATTACCTACTTACCTATTAATTACTTACTTTGTTGGCTTTCGAATCTGATTGTGCTGTGTTGTTTTTGTATCAATCATGTTACTACTGCATAAACGTAACATGGGCCGCGATTAGGTTAGCACGAGACGCCAGCACATAGGTCACTTACCTTTGTGGTAGTGCTACACTTGTGCAGTTGCACAGTTGCCCGTTTTTTTTCGATTATTCGAAATTGTGGCAATTGTTTAAAAATCGCACAGGAACACAACATCATCCTCATTTTTTTCACGATCACAATGGTGTGCATACGAGTTAATGATGATGTTGTATTAGCAATACTATTTATTAATGTATAATGCCTAAAGTCGTAAGTTCTTTATCGTATTTGCTCACTTTTAATATATTATATGAAAAATGCTTACATTTATTTTAGGAACACGTTTTGTAATATCCGCAAGCAATCCGACGTTGAATAAACCGGCCGCGACTGGCGGCAGTATGAAAATCGCTAATGAAGTGATCGAGGAAGTGGACGAGCAGGCCACTATTACCAGTATGGGCAAACAGCGACAAGACAACAGGTAAATAATATTGTATATGTACATATATAATAATGTTGTATATAGTGATGAAATATTTTTAAACGAGGCTGACAATTTTTTAGTGGCACAGTGGCCATATATTGAAAAGTAGGTTACTTGTGGGTGACATCTAGGTACTATCAACAATTAAAAATCTAAATGCAGATGCCAAACTAGGAAGAGGGGGACTTCAGTTTTCGTCATTCACCATACAAAACACATTCACTGGTATTCTGTTATAGTGAACATAATATAACACAACAATATAAATTTCCTCCAGACTTGCTTGCATTACCTATTAATTAATCGCTCCATGCCAATTATACAATACAAGTGCCAACACGAACGTTCATTAACACAAAGGGATATCGATGTAGTGTGAGTGTGGTCTTAATTCCTTCGGGACGACACTGAATGTGTCATAATGCAACGTGGCTCGACCACATACATACATAATATAATATTCTCGAAATTTAATTTTTCTTAGTAATAAATATTATAAGATTTACCAATACCTACCATAACATGTATTCTAAAGTGGATCCCTATTGATTTTTGTTACTGAACTGGACATGGTTTAAAAGTTATTAATGAAAGTCGATCAGATTCTATGGGGTTTTTTACTTGTAAAAATTATCGTCACTATTTTTATTTTTTCATCAATATTAAATGAAACGCTCATGGATGCGTACACCTTTGGGTTTTCCAATTTTTATTTTACATTTCGCTTAAACCAGATGGTTATACTGTAATCTACCGGGAGTCATTAGATATGGCACGTAGTCGCCACTTACACATAGATCTTCTCACGCCGCCACTACACGACTACACAATTAATATCAATATTCTTAAAATATTGTCCTCGATTTTCAGACCAACGGCGATGAGCTTATTCACACAAGGACCGCTTATCCCAAGCGAGCCAGTGAATGTTCCTACACGAAACTCTAACCATACCTCCGGTAAGTGAATTCTATATCTTATTTATTTGTTAAAATATAAATACTTGCTGTGCTATTAACATCTCTAGGTAGGTCTCGGTAGTCGAATAGCGGATTCGAACCGACGACTATTTAAGTTTCTCGGTCCACACTCCGCACTGCTGACGCTTTGCTACTTAGTTTACAATTATGTCCAAAATTCTACCAATAATGACCTTTATGTCGAAAGCATTTTCTCTTATTTTTAATAAAATTAGGCTGAGCAGAGAGAGGTAAAATAGAATGTTTTTATCGTTTAATTTTGTTTTAACTTAGGATATTTTTATAATCTTAAGAATGATCAACGTATTCAGTCCAACTATAACCATTGCAGTCTAAGTTTAAGCTTACTAAAGCTTAACCTTTAACTGTAATGGTTACAGCTACATATATTTATGCTTTTACACACATATATAAACTCCTACGCGTGATAGACACCCAGAGGGGTAGGCAGAGACTATGGACTTCCATTTGGCCGATTCTGATACACCTCGCTCGCTTTCTTTGTTTCGATCGTTTTCACCAATTTGTACTTTCGTCTAGGGCCTATACGAAAATTTATTTTCCAAATTGGTGATATCGCCCTAGACTCTAGGGCGTCCCTTGCCAAATCCGCCACTTCTGCAGCATAAATTTGCTTTGTCACTGCTTTATATTTTATAAAAGCTATTAATTATTAATTTTATAAAAGCATCAATATTTATAATTAAAATTATTAATGTTAAAGTTGCACATTTAGAATGTTTGAGTTAATTTAAATTTATAATATTTAAATTAAATCGAACATTTGAAATGTGCATACCAATGTCGTTTCTATTGTGTATAAGTGTTTATGTAGGAATATAGATACAGGTCAAATAAAGGGAAGAAAAGTTCGTTAATGATTTTACTTTTCTGAGGTAACAAAAGATCATTCTAAATTATATATGTGTATTTAGTGTTTAAGAAATGCAATAATAAATAAAAATAATAATAAGGAATGTTGGTTAAAAGTTTCATTTTTAACACAAACGGAAATAAATGCATTGTTAATCTGCGAGAGCGAACGCCAGATAAGATAAAAATTATGCGACAATGACATTCAATCATATTTTTTATCAACGACAGTACGTATTGTCTTAGTGATATCATATTTTAAATTGCTATGTTATCATTTGTTAAGAAAATGTAAGTATAAAGATTTTTACCGAACAAGGATGTTAGCTCAGGGATAATGTGTTTAAAATTATAACACGCTCTATTCTCAGATAATTTGAAAGGTTCAAGGTGATATCAATATATATATTTTTCTTAGATAGTTAGTAAGGAAAAATTCTTTGTAATAATGCTCATCGCTCATATATAAAAATTTACGATATTTTTTGATATTGACATGCATGTCTGACAGTCTTTAAAAATGAATATCTAGCGAGCGACTTTGTAGATCGGCCAAAAAATTGATAATATTAAACTGAATGTAGCCGTGGTTAACTATGACATTGGGACATTAAACACCTCGTGGTCAAGGGGGGACCACGGGTGCTGTAAAGTACTCGAAATGTTTGGAAATACGCGATAAAATCGGTAAAAGCTAGTTTCATTTAAATCTTATTAACTTTTAATGGAATCTTTGGCAATACCAGGGTAACACTGATGGTCTTATTAAAAACGTGCTTTATTTTATTAATAACAAATTAGTTCAGTAACAGTCTAGTTTGTTGTCCATAGTTCCAAGAACTAACTAAAATTGTAACTAAATATTCCTTAAAAGAAAATTAATGAATTGATTAATGGAATGAATGAAATGATTTATGGAAAATTCATCTGTTATTTTAGTGATTTACTCGGTGAAGATATGAAAATCACAGAAAGGATATTACGTCATACTCTGACGCATCACGACACTCGACCGTGTCAAGGCGTGGAGTGTGTGAATACTGAATAGCTTAATTTTATAGTCTATCATAGCTGTAATCATGCGTCGTTAACTCGTACTTCGCTGTAGAATGATGTCAAAACAAAGTAAAAATAAAATATCACGTTTCGGTTACATTTTTGTAAAGTAAAATGTGGCCGTTTTAATGAAGTTGCTTGTGCCAATGAAGCCAGACCTTTAAGGCCCAAGATTCGTGATTAATTTTTTTTTATAATGATTTCTTATATTTACGCGAACACTACACATTGAATAAAACTACTTTTACGGATTATATCGCGTTTAATTTACTTATTTTTATTAAATTCCCGACGTTTCGGGTACTTTACAGCACCCATGGTCACGGCGGACTAAGGTGATTGACGTCCCGATGTCAGAGTGTCCCCATGAAGTTCTATAACTTCATGAGTGTCCCGGAGTACCTTCAGCTTTTTTAATTATTAGTTTTGTTTCGATCTACGCAGAATGAACTTACTGTGTCTTGAAATCTTGCAGTGGTATGCTTGGGTTTAGTTTTAATTTTATTAATTACAGGATTCCAAGCAGGTAGTAGTACCCCAGCCTCCCTCTCTATTGAAATTAGGATGTTTTTTTTTTAATTTCAATAGCCTCACGTATCATCCTTGACAGGAATCGATGTTCTTTCGCGAGAATTTATGGTTTATCAAATCTAATGTAATGGCGGGGGCCGTCTAGGATATGATTAAAAATCTTAGGAAGCGGTACAAAATGTCTTCATAGACTTTGTTGGTTCAATCGTAAAGGTGATCTTTTCTCGAAATGGCAGAGATGTAGAGATAATGAGAGTAACATAGATTAAATAAAAATATATTTTCTTAGAAAATTTGTTTGTAAATATCAATATCAAACGGCAGTTTCATATTTTAACTCCTATTATTTACAAGCAAATTAAAAAGCAAAATGAAATCAAAATTTATTTAAACGTTACAATAAGGGAACTTATTATTACAAGTGACAATTCATAGATCTGAGGGTCAAATGTGTATCACTATCAGTGGAAGAAATAAATAGGTACCCAACGTTAGAAGGTCTTGTTCGCAAAATGTCGCATTTCCATCAAACGGTTACAGTTGTTGTCGGGCATTACTTAAACTATTTTGGATGGACAGTAAGCTTTACTAGTAAGAAGATCCACTCCACGCTTAAATTATATAAAGTATATTAAATATTGAAAATATCAAATTACACTCAAAGGAAACATTTCTTTGTTTTATAATATAAAAATTGAGTTGGGACTCGAACCTACTAAAAAGAAACAAATAGACAGTCGCTATTTTATTAAGCCAATCGATAGGCTATATAGACTATCTATGATACGGATAAAATCTTTCGAATTAACATTGTATCTTAAAATTATAAAAGACCATGAAATCTAACATTCATACATATTATCGACTCGAACTACTATTCCAACCTAAGCTGTTTATTTTTACAAGCTTTTAATTAACTTGCAATGTAACTATGTCTGTTCGGGAGGAATCTTGCAACTCAATTTGGAAGCAGATATCTTCAACCGATTGAGCTAAAATTTTGTAGACACGTTTAATTAAATGACAATGCATGGTTAGCTTCGTGACGTAATTCTAAATCCACTCGGAACTCCCAAGATGGCGGACTGGTTATTTTTAAGGCACTCCTACAATATTAGTATCAAATGAAAGGGCTTGCTTGCTTGGTAGAGCCATGATGCAGCTATATAGTAGTATAGTTGTAGCACGAATGGGTCGGCTTGACCGGGGAAGGACCACGCTCTCATAGAATACCAGCGTCAAATAGCAGCTTAACGCTGCTGTGTTTCGTATGGTGAGTATAGAGAACCGGAGACCCTTTTTACTGGAAACGAGGCATTCCATCTTAGTCCTCATGGGTGGCAACGCATCTGCATTTTGATTCGCAAACAAGGATAAATGTAATGTCTATGGGCCACAGTAACCACTTATCATCACCTGATGATAAGTGGTTGCTGTGGCCCATAGTCCATAGTCCACCTGGACTGTGTGCTCGATTCTCACCCTATACTATAAAAAAAAGAATAACACGAAAAATAAAGTGACGTCACTCTACATCCAATATGGCATACTTCAGAAGATGGCGGACTATGTTTTTTTATGCTTTCCTACAATATGGGTATCAAATGAAAGGACTTGCTGAGAATACGAATGCGAGTTAAAAAAATAAGAAGGTGGTCATAAATTGCATTACTCCAATCCGTTTGAAACTTTGGTTTACTAGGGTTTTTGGAGTCCTCGATTATGATATTGAGGTCGAATCGTTCGATTCTGTAGCATCGGTTGGTTAACTTTGACTTGTGTAATTTGGCGAGATAGGCGTCAACAGCATTGGTTTGCAACCTATCTAGGAGAAAGATAACTCCAAAATCAAACCCGGAACTGTGTTTCGTAAGGTACAAGTAAGTTTCAAGCTGAAATAAGTGGCGCATTCCTCCAAACACCCAAGTCAAGGTGAGGCTGTGCCGAGGACTGAGTGGCATCAGGCTGTAACATATGTTATGAACGTACCGCCTCAGGGCACCGGGGTGAACCCTGTTGTATATTAGCTCTTACTCTTCTAAACGAAGCTCTGGCACAGATTACTTAATAGTTGCTCTGGGAAGGTCAACAATACATTGTAGATGTGGCCAAAGGTCTGATGAATGCTGCCATTGGACATATTATAGAAATCATAAGGCCCTGCTTTCGGAAACCACAAATGTATGATATCCGTCCGTATAGACTTCGATATACACGGTGTTCATCTCATTCAACCCAAGACCGTGCAATTTCCAGCAAAATATAGTCACGGCACTGCAGAACGAAGAATGCTGCCATTTATATTATGTTGGGTTTGCACAGTAGGTACACAAAATGCAGGGTAGTACTGTCAACCATGCCGTTGTATACTTAGGCTCGAAGCTCTTCGCTGCATACGTGCATCATCAAGCATACGTGGCCTCATGTAGGGTAAAATCATTAGAAGGTCCCTTTATTGAAGAGCTAGACTGTTCGAAATTAACCGGCAAACGACCTTGCAAAAATGATGCATTGAATGAGATGATCAGACTGAGAAACCTGTCCAGCGATAACTAAAAAGTAAAAAAAAAATTAAAAATAAAAATAATTAAAAACAAGCTTTTATTTAAATGCGCTGAAAAGAATAAAAGAAACTTTTCCTAACTTTTACTGTCAACTTATAACATCATTACAGAATTTATATGGAAAAGAAGATGGTCGCGAGATTTACCTGCGTAGATAAACAAGTAAAATGCGCGTTTAAATTAAAGGTTGTTTTTAAAAATGTTTTTTACTTTTAATTTATTAAAAGTTAAAAGACTTATTTTCTTAAAACTCCACCATAAGAATTCTTAAAAAATGAAGTTTAATAATCAGCTAAAACGTTCTCTAAAAAGACAATTACAAATATCATTATTTATAAGTATGCTTATTTTTAAGACTTTTAATATGTGTCTGTAATTTTGAAATTGGAATGAACATATGGGTAACCTTTTGTTATTTTTCATAGTTTACTAATTGTGTTTGTTTTCTCGTTATTTTATAATCTTAATAATGGCTTATCAAGAATAATTTTATTTGTTAGCAGCTTAATTTTTAAATCACAAAAGTCCCACTTTAACGACGACTGTAAGGTGCATAACGACATACAATTGAAACAATGTCAAGCCTAAAAGTTGATTCTGGTTGGGGCTTCTACGATTTTTACGGCGCCAAGATTTGAAGGATTCGCATAGATCTTGACGAGATACGCCGAAAAGTAAGAATAAAATTTTTCGATATCTCGCTTAGTTTCCGAGATATCGGTACTCAAAAATCGAATACTAAAACCGAATTAGCTGTCCTACCCCTAGTGTCATTTTTTTCACTCGCGGCTTTGGCCTCGAGCCTTGAGACCGATGTAGCTGTAAGAGCTAAAAGACTAACAGTACTAACATTACATTATTATATGATTAGATGATAAAATGTTTGTGTAAAGCCGCAGGCGCGGAGGAAGAGCAGCCTCTTCAGATTCGAATTTAAATTAATGATACTGAAATATACATGTTGTAATGAAATATAGATAACTTCATAATACTTTGTATTTATGTAAAAGGTTATTTTAATATGTGTGAGTACGCTTGTACAAAGTTATTGCGGAATGATTAATGTGAAATGTCAAAAGGTATTTCTTAAATTTGGTTGAGTATAAGGCTAAGTTCACATGACCGCGTGGAACTACTGACCGCGCGGTACAAGATATAAGTGAATGGCAATTATCGTTCACATCACCGCGCGGCGCTCTCCGACCCGCGTGCAAGATCTTGAACCGCGCGGTTCAAGTTCTACGAACCTATATCAATCTGTATAGTTGATCCGCGCGAGTTGAGACGGTCTGACGCATAGATGCAGAAAAAATGAGTAGCGAAGATGCCAGACTGCCGCGCGTACATATGCGGTATGTGAACGCTCCAACAGCGCGGTGACGCGCGTCTTCGCGCGTTCATATAAACTTAGCTTAACAATTAACAAGCGTGGTACTGCAGCAGATGCGCGGCTGTCGTCATCGGCGCCGGCGCGGTGGGAGGTGGCGGGGGACGCGGGGGGTGTGGAGGGCGCGGGCGACGCGCGCGAGCCGGACGCGCTGCCCGCGCCGCCGCGGCCGCGCCTCGACAGCGACGTGGGGCCTTCGCTCAGCGCCGCCGGCAGCCACACTCTCGGTCAGTTTATATGTTTTATCTCACCAATATCCTTTACCACCGTCGATTATTCCGGACCGATACGACTTAGACTTACCTTCAAGAAACGAGCTTACTCCTTTTGAAAAGGCCGACAACGCACTTGCAATTTCCCTGGTATTGCAGTTATTCATGGGCTACGATCAACACTTATCATCATATGAGCCAAACACTCGTTAAGCCCCTCTTCTATAAAAAAAAACCAAGGTGGACGAGTATTACTTCGTCGCTTGACAAAGGACACATTAATGGCCAACCCGCCATCGTGATTAAAAATATTATAACATAATATGCTACTATTACTAAACATCGCTTGAAAAGGATTAGAAGTAATATAATAAAAAGACTTCCATCACTTTCATTCAAAAATAGTGCTAATTATTTGTATGGTACGTTATTTAAAATTATAAGTTGTGAATTTAGTAGAATGTTTACTTCTAAAACTTTAATGAATGGGCGACACTAGGAATTTATAAAAGTAGGCGATGGTTATACGAGCTTTATGATGAAAGATCATATAATAGTAGTGTTATATTTAGAGATTATGTAAAAACATATTCTAAAATATTTAAAAAAGTGTGCTCCACTGCTAAGGCTTTACACTCAAGCAACAAAATTAAAACTGCATCCGACAAAATTAAAACGACCTGGAGAATAATAAATAGTGAAACAGGCAAGGTCAAACCGCGCAACTCGGATTTTCAACTGAATATTAACAATAATTTAACGCGATCTGATCAAGAAGTTGCTATGGCTTTTGAGAACCATTTTACTGATCTTCCTATTTTGAAAACAATCATTAAACTCTTCTCCTACTGTCGCCGAGTCATTGCTCAAACAAAATGTAAAGGCTTGTTCAAATACTTTTAAATTCCATAGAGTACTGCTAAAAGATATCGTTAAATATTTTAAAACTATTGATGTTAAGAAAACGGCAGACTTATGGGGGATTTCCGTTAAAGTTATTTTATCTATAATAGATACATTAGCACCTTATCTAGCCACTATATTTAATACAAGCGTCGAATCTGGTGTGTTTCCTGATTTAATGAAACATAGTAAAGTCATACCTTTATTTAAATCTGGTAGTACATTAGACCCCGCCAATTTTAGACCAATTTCTGTACTACCAAAATCTAGTAAAATTTTTGAAAAAATAATTTTAGATTAGATGTTAAGTTTCTTTAATATTAATAAATTGCTACATAGAAATCAATTCGGTTTTACAAGGGGTCGCTCGACAACTGACGCTGGAGTTGAGCTTATTAAACATATTTTTTGTGCATGGGAGAATTCAGAGGATGCTTTGGGTATATTTTGTGACCTTTCCAAGGCCTTCGACTGTGTTCACCATGAGACATTAATCAGGAAGCTACAGTACTATGGTGTCAAGAACACAGCGCTTTAAGTAATAGAAAGCAGAAAGTTATTATCAACGGTAAAAGTTCTTCCGGGTCACCTGTACTAATGGGTGTCACTCAGGGCTCGATTCTCGGCCCATTCCTGTTTCTGGTGTATATTAACGACTTACCTTACCTTGTAGGGGATAGTCATGATATAGTATTATTTGCTGATGATACTTTCTTGATTTTTAAACTTAAACGTCAATCATTTAAATGTGACGAAGTGAATAATGCTATATCAAAATTAGTGCATTGGTTTAACGTTAATAATCTGCATTTGAACGGAAATAAAACTAATTGTGTTAAATTTCCAACAACGAATGTTAAAAATCTGAATGCCAATGTGTTTTTAATTTTTAAATGGGGAGGAACTGAGCCCTGTTGTATCCATTGTTTTTCTTGGCATCACTCTCGACGCAAAGCTTCAGTGGGGCCCTCACATATCCAAATTAGCAAGCAGACTACGTTCTGCAGCCTATAAAAAAGATTAGAGGTCTCACTAGTGTCGAGACAGCTAGATTAGTTTATTTCAGTTATTTCCATAGCATAATGTCTTATGGGATTTTGCTATGAGGGAATGCGGATGGTTCAGAAACTATTTTTGTTTTACAGAAGAGGGCCATTAGAGCTATTTACAATCTAAATCCGAGAGAGTCTCTTAGAGATAAATTTTAAATATATTAACTTTGGCCTCTCAGTATATTTACGAAAATTTAATGTATGTTCACAAAAACAAAGGTAGTTTTAGTAAAAAAAGTGATATACATTCTGTAAACACTAGGAACAAACACAAGCTAGTGATGCCAGTTTCTCGAGTCCACAGAGTCAGTAATTCATTCTTGGGGCAATGTATACGCTATTACAACAAGGTCCCGGAAAGTGTACAGGCTCTCTCTATTGCCAAGTTTAAATGTTTTATTAAGGTGAGACTGTATAAAAAGAGTTATTATAGTATAAATTAATACATGTGTGATAATAACCCCTGGGAATGCGGTGGTCGCTTCCAAGCAGTTTCTAAAATAAATTTTGTAAATAGTTCGTAATCATTTATATTGTAAAATTTATTTAAAAAAGTCCCGCTGGGTTTCTTGCTGGTTCTTCCCAGGACACAGGGTTTTTTTCAAACCAGTGGTAAAGTAAAAAATGACTTTCAATAAGAATTACACATGTAATGTATATTGAATAAAAAAATATTCTATTCTATTCTATTCTACTACTTATTTACGACTACTCGACGAATACAGTAAGACGAATGTGTGGATTATGACCACGCCGACTGCATTTCTGTTAACAGTTTCCCTTTCCGCAAAATAGACACAACAGTTAAACAATCGCAACGCTCATATATGATTCATGGGACAATTCTAATTTCCCGATGTTTAAAAGTGTCTCAACGTGTGAAGTGTTACCGTTGGTTCTAATTTCTTTCTTAAATTTTTCTAAAAATTCAATCAACGCCACACGTTTCGTCGTTTTGAAATGACTATTCAGATTAGAAAAGTCGTTATTTGGTTCGAATTTCCTTCTAATAAGAATAATTAAAACCCCGACTTCAAAATGCGAAACTATTTTATTCTTTTTAGCTCTTTGAAGTTGGCTTTATTTTTTATTATAAGTAAATTTTTTAACTTTTTTGAATGGACACAATAATATAATCACGGTCCCATCGCCCATGGTTCACCTACGTACGATCTATTAATGTGGCTTTATGTAGATTTAAGATAATCAAAGACCATTCATTTTATGAATTTATTGTTTTATATCAAAAAAAACTAATAGTTTTTTTTTTGGATAAAATATAGCCCAGATCACTTTTGCCATTACTATCTGTTCGTGGATCATTATTACAATCAGTTTATCCATTCTAAAAAGTAGCCCGGGCAGACAGATAGAAATAAATTTAAAAATGGTTATTCATGTCTCAATGGCATCCAAATAAATCCATATCAATATCTGGCAGTTATTTCAATATTACAGACAGACACTTCAAATTTATTTATATTTATAAATTAATTTATATCGTTCATTATTTAAAATTGTTTTTTCGGATTAAAAACAAGTAAAACGTCGTTAATGTGTGGTGTTCGGGTAATTATAAGAAATCATTTTGTATCGTTCACGTTCTAGTGGACGAAGTCGACGGCGTAGATGAAGACGACCCTGATACTGATGACTTCGACCGACTCCGCAGTGAACGAGAACAAAAACGCCGTGAGAAGTACCGCCAGAAACTCATGGCTCGCTCTGTTAGCGCACAGCAGGTAAGTCTTGCTGTTTGTTACGTCTTTATTTTTACATATAAGTGTTTTCTATGTACTCACGGGTCTTGAGCTTAATTCTTAATTATAGCACAGTCTATATATCCAGACGTTGTCGGCATTTACCACGAGATCAATGGCGTCGTCCTACTTTGTTTTTATTATATTGTGATTATACTCAAAACACAAATTGTTGGTTTTCGGGTCTGTGTGTTGTGATTGTTTCAGTAATTGTGACACAAAAGTCTATTTCATAAGTTACCGCATAAGCATTTCGCCTGACATACTCTTAGAATAGATTTGTAGTATGAGTAGACAAGTGAGTTCCCCTATAAAAGTTTAGTTACCCTTTTCGTCAAATGTAGTCCTAAATAGTATGTTTTAAGCAGTTAACAACTTTTGATAGTAGACTGTTGCTGTCGCTCAGGTCTATTATTGTTTTAAATACTACTTAAATACTGTTATAAAATAAGAAGTCTAGAGATTTCGCCCCTACCACTCAAATTATCGAAGTCTAGGTCTTAAGAAAACAACGTTTTCATTTGTAAATATCATATTTATATTTATTTCTTGCGGAAATAAAGTAAATGAAAGTAATCAAAATACTAATATTCTAAAATTTTAACATTATCTAGTACACGGTAGTAGAGCCTTGCAGCAGCTTTTGCTGTTACACGTATGGGCCGGCTTTTACGGTGGTAGAGCCTTGCAGCAGCTTTTGCTGTTACACGTATGGGCCGGCTCGAGCCGGGTTAGTACCACGACCTCACAGAATACCGGCGTGAAGTGGAAGCTCTGCTTCCGCGTTTCCTCTGGTGAGTGCAGGTGACCGGATGCCCAATTCCCCCCCCCCCCATCAACATGGTAGCGGAATTACGTCAAAAACTACCCCAGGAGGGTACCAGTACCCCTGGAGAATCCCTCGCTGAGCATCCACGACCATGCTATTCCACTCCTGAGCGTGGGTGCTCAGGCTGCCCCGCGTATTCTGGGGGGGGCAAAATTCCGCTCAACACATTAACTGCTCGGGGCAAACTGAGCAACAAGACCAAGGCGACCCCTGCCACGCTATCCGTGAATTTCTGCAACATCAGGGGACTTCACTCGAACCTAAACGCCGTCCACTACCATCTTGAGACGGCGAAGCCGGCCTTGCTCTTTCTGACCGAGACGCAGGTGTCCTCTCCGGCTGATACTTCGTATCTCTCCTGCCCGGGGTACAAATTGGAGCACTCCTTTGTGCCTCGGGCTGGAGTTTGCGTGTATGTCAGAGAGGACATCTGTTCTCGACGCCTCGGCAGTCTTGAAGGTTCGGACCTGTCCATCCTTTGGCTACGCGTAGACAGCGACGACCATCCGCGCGTCTACGTGTGCCTCTATAGGTCCCATAGCGGTAATGCCGAAACAGACCGACTCATCGACCACGTCCAAATGGCTACAGATTCCTTGCTACAACAGGTCCCATCCGCAGAGATCGTGATCCTTGGCGATTTTAACGCCCACCACGCCGAATGGCTCGGTTCACGTTTAACCGATCATGCGGGGAGATCTGTTTATGACTTTGCCTTGGCATATGGTCTGACACAACTGGTTACATCGCCTACGCGGATTCCAGATGTTGAGGATCATACACCTTCCCTGTTGGACCTTCTGCTGACCTCTCATCCGGACGGATATCAGGTTTCCGTCGATGCCCCTCTTGGCTCTTCGGACCATTGTCTGATCCGGAGTGTGGTGCCACTCACGCTCCCCTCGCGGTTGCGTTCTGCAGGTTGCCGCCGTGTTTGGCATTACAGGTCGGCGGATTGGGACGGAATGCGGTCTTTCTTTGCTTCCTACCCATGGGGGCGGGTTTGCTTCTCACCGGATGATCCCAGCGCTGTTGCTGACTTTGTCACTGATGTAGTGCTACAGGGAATGGAACTATTTATTCCATCATCTGTGGTACCCATCGGAGGCAGATCTCAGCCTTGGTTTGGTCGCTCCTGTAAGACTGCATTACGCAGTAAGCAGGAGTGTTATCAAGCCTGGGCTGCGGCTTCGGTGACTCGGGATGTAAACACCAGCACACTCAAAAAGAAGTATAACTTCGCCTCCAGGTCCTTCAAAAGAGTTATTGCCAAGGCAAAGTCAGAGCACATAGGCAGAATTGGCGAGAAACTAGTTCGCCTTCCTTCGGGAACCCGTGCATTCTGGTCTCTCGCCAAGGCTGTCCAAGGGAATTTCTGTAAGCCATCACTACCATCTCTGCACAGGGAGGACGACTCACTGGCCCACGACGCAAAAGAGAAGGTCGACCTTTTAGGCTCCCTTTTTGCGTCCAACTCGACTGTTGATGACGGGGGGAGCACACCGCCGACCATCCCGCGGTGTGAGTGCTCCATGCCGGATGTGCCATTCTCACAGCGCTCGGTTCGCAGAGCACTCCTCTCCCTTGACATCCACAAGTCGAGTGGGCCTGACGGAATCCCCCCAATTGTGCTGAGGACGTGTGCTCCGGAGTTGGCACCGGTTCTAACGCGTCTTTTCCGGTACTCTTACTCCCTAGGCGTAGTCCCGAAATCATGGAAGACAGCTTTTGTCCACCCGATCCCTAAAAAAGGCGACCGCTCAGATCCGTCCAACTACAGGCCTATCGCGATCACCTCCTTGTTCTCCAAAATAATGGAATCCATTATTAACTGTCAGCTCATCCGGTACCTTGAGGATCACCAGCTGATTAGTGACCGCCAATACGGTTTTCGTCGGGGTCGATCAGCTGGTGATCTTCTGGTCTACCTGACCCATAGATGGGCGGAGGCAGTAGAGTCCAAGGGGGAGGCGTTGGCCGTTAGTCTGGACATTGCGAAGGCCTTCGATCGGGTTTGGCACAAAGCGCTTCTTTCGAAGCTCCCTTCCTATGGGCTTCCCGAGAAATTGTGCAATTGGATCACCAGCTTTCTTGCAGATCGGAGCATCAAGGTCATTGTAGACGGTGCATGCTCCGACTACAAGCCTATTAACGCTGGTGTTCCACAAGGCTGCGTGCTATCACCAACGCTGTTTCTTCTGCATATCAATGATATGTTGCAAGCTGGTAGCATTCATTGCTATGCAGATGACAGCACTGGTGATGCTCTATACACCGGCCGTGCCAATATTTCTCGGGAAAACGTCACCGAGTACCGGAACAAACTTGTGTCTGAAGTCGAGTCTTTGCTGGACAAAGTCTCGGATTGGGGGCGACTAAATCTAGTCCAGTTTAATCCTCAGAAGACACAAGTTTGCGCGTTTACCGCTAAAAAGAACCCCTTTGTCGTATCTCCTCAGTTTCAAGGTACTCCCCTTGTTGCCTCAGCCAGTATCGGAATCCTCGGCGTCGACATATCGAGTAGCGTGCAGTTTCGTGGTCACTTGGAAGAGAAGGCCAAATTGGCCTCTAAAAAGCTTGGCGTGCTCAGCAGAGCGGGACAGTATTTCATGCCGGCTCAACGCCTGCAACTTTACAAGGCGCAGGTTCGGCCTCACATGGAATACTGTTCCCATCTCTGGGCTGGGGCTCCCCAGTGCCAGCTTCTTCCACTTGACCGCATCCAGCGCAGAGCGGCTCGAATCGTCGACGACCGAGTCCTTTCCGATCGGCTCGACTCATTGGCACTGCGAAGAGATGTTGCATCTCTTAGCATTTTCTTTCGCATTTACCATGGGGAGTGCTCTGAGGAATTGTTCGGATTAATCCCAGCCGCCAAATTTCACGAACGCACATCGCGGCAGAACTCCCGATACCATCCACACCATCTGGATGATTGGCGGTCCACCACTGTGCGATTTAGAAGATGTTTTCTTCCTCGCACAACTTCCTTGTGGAATAGTTTACCACCAGCGATTTTTCCGGACCGATACGACTTAGGGACCTTCAAGAAAAGAGCCTACTCCTTTTTAAAAGGCCGGCAACGCATCTGCAATTCCCCTGGTGTTGCGGTTGTTCATGGGCGGCGGTAGTCACTTACCATCAGGTGAGCCGCATGCTCGTTTGCCCCCTCTCCCATAAAAAAAAAAAAAAAAAACAGTACAATCAAAAAGTCGTTAAAACAACTTTTGGGAACTAATGCTTTTGCTCGATTTGAAATGTATGCATTCATGCCCATATGCATGCCCCATAATATTTATTTTATATAGAGAAAACAAAGTATCAAAACTTTTCGGTCGAAGTCTATGGTAATAGCTACCGTATAAATAATGGTGATGTACTCCTTTTTTTCCATGACTTTCTTGACGACTGTATTACCCATCAATTACGTTAGATAGAAAATAAATATATGAATATCCTTTTGTATTATATTTTCAGCCAACCGGCAGTCAAGAATTAATAGACAATGTTCTGTTATTAGAAGAACTACTTATGCAGTCTGAAGCATTGAAGAAAGAGCAACCTGAACAATATTCCAAAGATGAAACCTTTTGACACAGTTTCATATTCCAATGCGATTAAGTTTTAATTCAGAACTCAGTATTATCAATTGTGATACTTTACTATTGTATGTATATTTACTATTTAGTAAAAAATCAACGAATCGATGTATTATTTTTTAAGATTAATGTAAGTACATGGAAAAGACAACATAAAAATAAATTATATAGCTATATGTTCTTTTTTATTTTTACTTGGATATACTGCTTTGCAAAATACACTTATCAGTTAAATAGTATTTATATTATTTTTGTAACTTTACATTAATGTAAGTACATGGAAAAGACAACATAAACATAAATTATATAGCTATATGTTCTTTTTTATTTTTACTTGGATATACTGCTTTGCAAATTACACTTATCAGTTAAATAGTATTTATATTATTTTTGTAACTTTACATTAATGTAAGTACATGGAAAAGACAACATAAACATAAATTATATAGCTATATGTTCTTTTTTATTTTTACTTGGATAACTGCTTTGCAAATTACACTTATCAGTTAAATAGTATTTATATTATTTTTGGGGGTCATTGTAGAAGCGTGCTCGTCGCGACCCCTGCCAGCCCTTTTCAGGGCTGCAATTCTACTCAGCTGCGCACCCATGCCAACGAGGGTTAGGGCGTCCCCCCAAGGCGACGCACACCAGCTCGTCCCCGTTGGTGTGGAATGCAGCGCGCAAAGCGGCGATGGGGACCGCCACCCGTCACGCACAGCCCGACACGGCGGAAGGTGGAGGACAGAGTGCAGAGTTGGCACGTGGAATGTTAGGAGGCATGAGAGATAAGGCGAATGAGTTGATAGAAATAATGAAAGAAAGAGAATTAGATGCCGTGTGTATGTCGGAGACCAAACGGAAGGGCAGTGGTACTGAAGAGCTCCCTGGCGGGGCGTTAGCTCTATGGTCCGGAGTCCCGGAGAGCGAAAACGCCTGCCAGGGAGTGCGGGTACTGCTTTCTTCTCGGTTGGTCGATGTTATGACTGAATATAAGGTTGTGAACTCAAGACTTCTCTGGGTTCGCTTTAAATTGGGACTGACGAAGTTATTCCTTTTGGCTGTTTATGCGCCGGTAGCTTCGTCGTCCAGGGCTGAGCTGGAGGAGTTTTGGGAGAATGTAAGAGAAGTTCTAGATTTGGCTAGGGGAAACGAAAGAATTGTTGTATGTGGTGATTTGAATGGATGGGTTAGTACCGCTCGACCAGGGTACGAGTCGGTACTTGGAAAGTTTGGCGATAAAAAGGTTAATGATGCTGGCAAGCTTATACTGGCGGTATGCAAGGAAAAGGGTCTTCTTGTGACAAACACTATATTTAATCACAAGAAAATCCATATGTATACTAGACAAAGAAAGAACGAGAGAAGTATGATCGATTTGTTCCTGGTGGATGACCGACTGCGAAAACAGGTGATGGATACGCGAGTGTTCAGGGGTGCTGACCTGGGAACGGATCACTATCTCGTGATTACTAGATTTAGGGGTCTGTTCGCGGGTTGGCGCTACCGGACGGCAGTAACAGAACCACAATCGGTCTGTCGCATCCGAAGCTGGAAGCTTCAGGAAGCGGATACTAGGGACAAATATCATGCGAGGGTAGCCGAAAAGCTTGACACCATCGATGGCAGAAAAGAATGTGTGGAATGAACATGGCAGAACCTTAGGGATGGAATGGTAAGTACAGCAGAAGAAGTGTGTGGAACAATAAAAAGAGGCAGTAGTGAAAGAAGAGATGCATGGTGGAATGATGAAGTGAAAGAAGCTGTAAAGAAGAAAAAGAAAGCATGGTTAGACTACTTGGCCTCTAGTAATGATAAGGATATGAGAGAGAAGATGAAAGAAAGATATAAGCTGCAGAAAGTTCACACGAAAGCATTGATTGAGGAAGTGCGTGAAAGGTGTAGAATGGAAGCGGACGAAAGGTTGTCGCACAACTTCAAGGAGAACTCCAAACTCTTCTGGAACGAGGTTGGAAGGACCCGAAGTGGTGCGACGGCCTTAAGAATGAACAAAGTGCTTTCGAGAACTAATGACGTCCTCTCAGAAAAATCGGACGTCATGCAGCGATGGAGTGAATTTTATAGAGAAATGTATGCGTGTGATGATCTTAGTGAGGGATCCGGGGATGACGCCGTGCCTGGTACGCCAGACCCGGACCTCGATGACACTGAGGTCATCAGTATGAAAGAGATTGAACGTGCGATTCGAAGTTTGAAATGTGGTAAGGCTGCGGGACTAGACAGAGTTACTGCTGAAATGGTCAAGTATGGTGGGCCTCGCGTCTGGGACAGCTTTCATCTGCTGTGCAATTTGTGCTGGCGGACGGGGGATGTCCCGGATGATTGGCGATCCGCAGTCATTGTGCCTTTATATAAAGGTAAAGGTTCACATTTTGACTGCGGGTGCTATCGGGCGATCAGCTTGACCAGTTTAGCAAGTAAAGTTTACTCGAAAGTTTTGACACGTAGGATGCAAGAGAAATCGGAAAGATTTCTATGGGAGGCACAATGCGGATTTAGACCTGGAAGAGGATGCACGGATCAAATGTTTTCTCTCCGCATGATCACGGAAAAGCTTCTGGCTGCTAACCAGAAGATTTTCTGTGCTTTTGTGGATCTTGAGAAAGCATTTGATAAGGTTGTAAGGAAGAAAATGTGGGAACTGTTGCTGGGGTATGGTGTGGATGGTCGATTGTTAAGGACTGTGCAGTCACTTTACTGTGACTGTAAAGCCTGTGTGCGGGTAGGGCATGACCTGTCACCCATGTTTAGCGTCCAAACGGGCGTAAAACAGGGTTGTGTCATGTCTTTCTGGCTGTTCATACTGTATCTCGACAGCTGTTTACAGAAGCTGAAAGATGCTTGGGTGTGAAATTGGGTAACATAAAAGTAAATTGTCTGCTGTATGCTGATGATGCAGTGCTTATTGCACCATCAGAGGCAGAACTGCAGGCATAAGTCACGTGTATGAAAGAGGAATGTGAAATTAAAGGTCTCCGTTTGAATACAAATAAAACTAAGGTTCTGGTATTTGAAAGGGACGAAGAGAGAGAACGAAGTGTGAAATATGGGCAAAAATGTGGACAGGCGTGTCGCTGCCGGGAACAATGTCAATGGTGCCCTGACTGCGTTAGTCAAAAGGCAAGGCGTAGTGAAGAGTGCACGCCTTGCAATACATAACGCAGTGTTGGTACCGACTTTGTTATATGGCAGCGAAACCTGGGTATACCAGAAGAAGCATAAAAGCAAGTTGAATGCAGTGGAGATGTGATCTCTTCGTAAAATGTGCGGCGTTATCATGGCCGACCGAAAGCAAAACGAAGAGATTCGCAATATGGCAGGTTTGAAAGATGATCTTATCACAAAAATTGATAAGGGCGTGCTTCGATGGTTTGGGCACGTTGAGCGAATGAGTGAAGACCGAATGGTGAAGAAAATATATAGCGCGGAAGTAAATATTAAAAGGTGTCGAGGTAGACCGAGACTAACTTTCGAAAACCATGTGAGCAAATTGCTCGAAGTGGGGAGGGTCAAGAGTACTCGGATACCTAGACGTGCATGTATGAAGAAAATAATGAATCTGAAAGAAGCGAAAGAGGTATGTAAGGATCGTGACACTTGGCGATCTGTTCTCTCTGGCTACCCCGTCAAGGATTGTGCGTGAAGATAAGTATATTATTTTTCTAACGTTACATTAAATTAGTTGCCTGTTTAGTAAACAATGCGCGGTCTTGCCCGATCCGTGTGTGGTTTATGTTGTGCGTGAGATCCGAGTCACCATGCTGGAGAATTGATTAGTAGTAGACTTAAAACTAAACCTGGAATGGGTTAAAAAAAACCTTAGCGTGGTCATCATCATCATCATCATCATTACAGCCTTTCATAAGTCCATTGCTGAACATAAGCCTCCCCCAAGGAATGCCACAAAGCACGGTCCTGAGCCACCTGCATCCATCGACTTCCTGCCTGTCTTACCAGGTCGTCACTCCATCTCGTGGGGGGTCGCCCTACACTTCGCCTACCGGTAAGAGGTTGCCACTCAAGAACCTTTCTTCCCCATCGGTTGTCGGTTCTTCGGGCTATATGGCCGGCCCACTGCCACTTCAGCTTACTAATCCGATGGGCTATGTCGGTTACTCTGGTTCTACTGCGGATATGCTCATTCCTAAGTTTATCCCGCAGAGAAACTCCGAGCATAGCCTTCTCCATAGCTCGCTGAGCGACCTTGAGCTTCCTCATACGGCCAGCAGTGAAGGACCACGTCTCAGTTACGTAAGTAATCACTGGCAACACGCACTGGTTGTACAATTTCGTTTTAAGGTTTTGAGGTGTGTCTGACGAGAAGATGTGTCGTAGCTTCCCAAACGCTGCCCAGCCGAGTTGAATCCGTCGATTGACCTCTCGGTCGAAGTTGGACTTACCTAGTCGGACTATTTGTCACAGGTAAACATACTCGTCAACAACTTTGAGCTTAGTGCTCCTAACAACTACCGGCATAGGTTTGACATGGACATTATACATAATCTTTGTTTTGTCCATGTTCATCTTAAGACCTATCCGTTGGGAGACACTATTGAGGTCATTGAGCATAGTGCTTAGGTCCTCCAGCGATTCTGCCATAAGGACTATATCGTCGGCAAATTGAAGGTGAGTGATGTACTCGCCATTGATGTTAATACCGTATCCTTTCCAGTCCAGAAGATTGAAAACATCTTCCAATGCAGCGATGAAGAGTTACGGGGATATAACATCACCCTGTCTTACACCTCTCTGCAATTGGATAGGTTTCGTACTCTGGTTCTGTACTCGGATAGCCATCGTAGCTCTACTGTACAAACACTTCAGCACTTCGATATACCGACAGTCAACTTGGCACCGCTGAAGGGACTGCAGCACCGCCCAAATTTCGACGGAATTAAAGGCTTTCTCATAGTCCACATACGCCAGACAAATTGTACTCTTCGGACTTCTGTACTATTTGCCGAAGGGTATGTATGTGGTCTATGGTGCTAAAGGTCTTTCGTAAACCGACTTGTTCGGGAGGCTGGAAGTCATCAAGTCTGCGCGCGAGACGATTCGTAATGACTCTCGAAAAGAGCACGTAGACGCAGCTCAGAAGGGAAATCGGTCTGTAGTTCTTCAAGAGAGCGTTGTCACCTTTCTTGAAGAACAAGA